GTAGGAAATGATTGGTGAAGAAGCACACCACACTTTCCCCCATCAATACTCATGAGAGGTCAGCAGCATCTAATCCAAATAACCCCTTCAGTCCCAAAATTAATCTCCTGCCTTCAGGTCCAGTGAAGCAAAGCATCTTGGGCTGACCCTGAAATGCATAACAACTGATATTAAGTGAAGAACTTGTTTTGAATTTGAAAGAACTGTTAGATATTACGGAAAGTAAGAGCCTAGCAGTGACACATCTAATCCTCCATTAATGTCTCTTAATTATATCGATTATGTGTTCTGTGAGGAAATGTGGGGGTTTTATGTATATGTATTACATTCATTAAGCTCTAAATCTGTTATCCTAAACCAGAGCAAACATACGAAAGCAATGAAACATTAGTCAGATTATCTTTCCTGCCATTTCTTCCAATACTTTTTAAAGGCAGGATAAATGGGTGTGAAATCTATATCTACATACGGTAAATAAAAATGTAATGTTTGTTTGTGGGATTTACATAACCCAAAAATCACTGAACGAATTGACAGCAAATTTGGACACAATACACCTATCAGGCCAATGAGTGACCATCACCCATAAAAACACTGGAAAACACAGCGGAAGGGACTTAAAAAGCCAAAAAAGCAAAAAGACACTACAGCGCATGCGCAAAAACGACTTCCCTGGCAAACAAAACACACAATAGCATATCCACACTCTCTTCCAGACTACAGCTGCCAGCATCCTCTAGACCAGGCCTTTAAGGAGAGGAGGATGATGCAAATGCACTGCTTCCAAGCTGCAAGCTTTCTTCTCCTTGGATTTCTTTGAGAGCATCCCAATCCCTACATGTGTCCAATTTTCTATTCCTGGACTGCAACTCTCAGCAATCCTCGAGATAGATAGATTATAGATAGGTAGGTAGGTAGATAAATGGGTCAGGAGGACTGCTGGAAGTTGCAGTCCAAGAATAGGTAGAGAAGGGAGAAAGAGGAAGGGAAAGAAAAGAGGGGGAAGGAAGGGAAGAAGAAATGGAAGGAAAGAGAGAAAGAAAGAAAGAAAAAGGGAAGGAAAGAAGGAAAGAGGGAGGGAAATTAAGGAGAGAGGGAAGGTTGGCCACAGCGACGCATGGCAGGGGATGGCTAGTAATACATAAAATGATTAGGAAAGCCACACTTTGACTTTTGAAGAGCTGGATATTTCATTTTAATATGTATTATTGATTATTTAAATACCCTAAAGTATTGGGTAGGGTGACAGCTTAGAAATCACAATCCACCAGATATTGTTTGACTGTAAGTTGCAACAGCCCTAGTCAGAATTGCTGGGAGTTGTGGTCCAACAATATCAGGGCAGCTGCATGATCCTCTTCCCTTAAGAGGATAACAAGAATTGAAATGGCTGTGTGCCATAGGAAAGGGTAGGAAAGGGTTAAGAGAAAGGCAGTGGCCGGGATCATGCAAATTTCACACAAGGAACCCTGGGATGCCTGTGTGTAGTGGAGGAAACATGTCAAATCTAGGATGAAATGGTCCCAGAATGAAAGCATTTCTTGGGTGGTTGGTGTTTGGGGAAAACATTGGCAGAGGTTGGACTACATGTTAATGGTGCTCGCTCCAACCTGCAATGCCAGTGGAGGGAATGACTTTGGAAGCTTCTCAGCACTTGGAACTATAGCCCGTTTGTGGAGGCGGAAGCCTGTCCGTGTAAGTGGACAGCTCCGCCGCATACAAACATACACATTTTTCAATTTCATTATGTGTATAGATAGATTAGGTACTTAAGAGAACAGACAAGCATCCCGAGCTCCGAGGATTACCTGGGAAGGAATCCCACTGGAGCATTGCAGCGCACCCAAATACCTGGGAGTCACTCTGGACTGTGCTCTTACCTACAAGAAGCACTGCCTGAACATCAAGCAAAAAGTGGGTGCTAGAAACAGTATCATATAAAAGCTGACTGGCACAACCTGGGGATCACAACCAGACACAGTGAAGACATCTGCCCTTGCGCTATGCTACTCTGCTGCTGAGTATGCATGCCCAGTGTGGAACACATCTCAGCAGACTAAAACAGTAGTTGTGGCTCTTAATGAGACATGCCGCATTATCACGGGGTGTCTGCGCCCTACACCACTGGAGAAATCACACTGCTTAGCCGGTATTGCACCACCTGACATCCGCCGGGAAGTAGCAGCCAATAGGGAAAGGACCAAGGCTGAGACATCTCCAGTTCATCACCTGTTTGGGTATCAGCCAGCACATCAACGACTTAAATCAAGAAATAGGTTTCTAAGATCTACAGAGACACTCGCTGGAACACCTCAGCAAGCGAGAGTCCAAAAGTGGCAGGCTCAAACCCAAAACCTCAACCAAAGGCTGATACCAAATGAGAGACTCCCCCCTGGGCACACCGAAGACTGGGCGACTTGGAGGGCGCTGAACAGACTGTGTTCTGGCACCATGAGATGCAAAGCCAACCTCAAGAAATGGGGCCACAAAGTGGAATCCACGGCATGCGAGTGTGGAGAAGTGCAAACCACTGACCACCTGCTGCAATGCACCCTGAGCCCTGCCACATGCACAATGGAGGACCTTCTTGCGGCAACACCAGAGGCACTCCAAGTGGCCAGATACTGGTCAAAGGACGTTTAATCAACTACCAAGCTTGCAAATTTTGTGTTTTGTCTGTTTGTTTGATTTGTTCTGTTAGAAATGTAATACAATTGACTGGTTGCCCTGACACGACAAATAAAATAAATAAATAAATAAGGTACTTAAGAATCCAAATCACCTCACCATAATTGGATTAGACTGGGGTCTCTGCTGTTCTTTGGCTGTGGATCAAATAATCCTTATGACCGAGGACTGTCTCTTTAAATTAGGCCAGATGTTTTGCTATTAAACTTGTAAAAAATATTACCTAAGCACCTACCTTGGGAATATTGCTTTGGGTCTTGAAAACCAAAGCTAAATGTAATAAGCCACAGGCTTGCCAACTGCTGCTATCACGGATAAGGATGTTAATATAAACATGGGAAAAACAGTTGTGTAGTGGAAGGAAAAAAACAATGGAGAAACGCAGGGAAGGAACTTTTAAGATTCTAAAAACATGATACAAGTTACATTGCATAACAGTAAAAATGCTGAACAACACATCCTCTCAGACTGTAAATCTGATCCTGGATTGGAATCAATTTTTAGTGACTAATTCAAGATGTTTTTTCTTTAACTTTGAAAGCTAAAGCGAATGAGAGAGCTACTCTTTGTCTTTAAAAAGTAGAAAGGCCTGCAGTTGGGGACATAAGTGAGGATACTCTGATTTTCTTCATTTGTCAAGGGAGGTAGATGGATTCTTTTCGTTACTACAGTGAACTGTTTGAAAACTGTACTGAAACCAAAATGCCAACCTGAAGTTCTTAGATGTTCAGCACAGATAACAAACTTCTGCATTCAGATGTTTGAACTTGCTTAAACTCTGCAATCATCTGGAAAGGGCCTTCTGAGGTGGAGACTCCTTCTTTGGAAGCTTTTAACAGAGGCTGGATGGCCATCTGTCAGGGGTGATTTGAATGCAATATTCCCGCTTCTTGGCAGGGGGTTGGACTGGATGGCCCATGAGGTCTCTTCCAACTCTATGATTCTATGATTCTCTCTGTCCCACCACACTTGGTGAGAACAAGTGCAAGAAAGGGCTTTCTTGGTGGCTGCTCCCAGACTCTGGAACCCCCTCTTAAGAGAGACCAGGATGGCACCATCTCTGCTTGCCTTTTGCAGACATCTATAAATATACTTCTGTCATCAGGCATTTATCAACTGGAGAGGCAGGCTGCTGTGAATGGGGTGGACGGGAATTTTGAAGGATGCTGTATTGTTTTAAATGTAGTTAAATTTTTGTTCCATGACACAAAATATTTGTTTTTTAACATTTATATTCATATTTTAATGGATTTGCTCAGTTTTAATTGTATCATGTCATGTTCACTGTTTGCTGTCTTGAGTCACTATCTTGTGAGAAAGGTGGGATAAAAATAAGATAAACTAATAAATAAATAATGGTGGCCTCTCTGCCACTTCCTCTTTCAGTCATTCTTTGACCTAGAAGCACCCTGTCAGATTCTAGAAGAATATAATCACTGAATTGGAAGAGACCTCGTGAGTCGTCCAGCCCAACCCCCTGCCGTGCAGGAAAATCACATTCAAAGCACCCTCAACAGATGGCCTCTGCTAAAAAAAACCTCCAAAAAAGGAGCCTCCACCAAACTCCAAGGTAGTGAGTTCCACTGTTGAACAGCTCTTACAGTCAAGAATTTCTTAGTAGCATTCAGGCGGAATCTTCTTTCCTGCAATTTGAACCCAGTGCTTCAAGTCCTAGTCTCCAGGGCAGCAGAAAACAAGGCTGCTCCCTCCTCCTTATGACATCTTTTACACATTTAAACATGGTGATCATGCCTCCTTTCAACCTTTTCTGCAGACTAAACATGACAAATTCTTTAAGCTGCTCCTCATAGGGCACAGTTTCCGGATCTTTGATAATTTAAGTTACTAAGATCTGTATTGAGCTTGAATTTAGTAAGCAAGGTTCACCAAAGAGACAAACAATCAATGAAGAAGTCCTCTCAAAATGTGAGTACTGATTAAAAAATTATTGCACAGAGCTATAGCCTTTTATCTCCCTGTACTTCTAAGCCACTCTGAGTACCTGTTGGGATGAAAGGGGCGGGATATAAACATAGTAAATAGCAAATAAATAAGCATGGCTGGGAAGAAATACCTGGAAAAAATTGGAAAATACCATTTGAAAAGCATACTTGGGAAACAGAACAACAGGTTCTTATACATCTTAAAATTGGGGAATCAACTTGAATGTTAAAGGTAAGTGTTTTCATTTTTTTGAGACTGGAACAGGTATGAGGGTGAAATGGCTAAAGGATATGAAGCTGATGGATCCTGCCACCTATTTGGAAGATGAATGTAGTATTTCTAAGATATGTGCCAAATGGACAGAACTGTATTTTAAAAAGCCTTTATTAAAGACCATCTTGCTCTTTTCACAATGTAATTCCTACTATCTCACTCATACACACACACACACACACTTGCCACAAGTTGGGTGAAATAGTTACAGATTGCATTGTGCCTCACTAAAATAAATCACCAAACCAAGAAATCTTACAATTCCATTAATCTGCCACAAGTAAAAAAAGCATATTTACAGCCAAAAACATAGAAACAGACATACACACAATAGATATATTTATATATATATATATGTATGTATATGCAGTCAATTAAACCCATGAAATAGAAAAAGACTTCACTGGGCATAAATATGATTCAATAAAAAAGTTTTTCCTTTTATGTGCATATAAATGCATTTTGGTTTGTACATACATCAAACTGACTTGAGCCAGAAGCTAGGACTTGAAATCCTCAATTTTACAGTGAGATTCATTCCAGTCGGACAAAGTAGTGTGAGGATTGCAGCAACCATGGAGATCATTCAAGGAATTTGCTGTGTATCATTTAAGATACACAACAACGGTCCACAAACACACTTTCTACATTAGGAGGTGAGCAGAATGATGGTATTTTCTAGGCACCCAACAAAATCACATGTAATGTGATTTTAACTACACAGTAGTAAACACGCCAATATAGTGCATTTAAAGGAGACCTTGACTACAAGGGTGCAATAGTTCCAGTGTTTGAGGAAAGCACAGATAAAAAGGCAGCACCTCTTCTACACCAGTATGGGAGCAACAAAAAAAGGGGGAAATCCAGGACATTTAAGAGGCCTTGTTTACCATAATGAGGGGCTGAATTGGAAGCCAGGAATAGGAAATATGCTGACCTCAAGATGTTACTAGGCTCTAACTCCATCATCCCTCACTACTAGATAGATGCACTGACAAGAGTTGATGGCAGCTGCTGTCCAACAACATCTAGAGGGGCACCCAGTTACCAAACCCTGCTTTACTTTTGAGTTATCCTGCACATGAGCAGCAGGTGCCTTAAGCAGACCCAAGGACAGACTTATAGACAAGTAAAAAGAATATAGTATTTTAAAGTAAAAGGAGTTTTTGCTGCACTGAGTAGTGTTTCAATAAGGCTTGAATCCAGTAAACATACATAGAGTTTTCAAGTCAATGAAGAAAGGCAGAATCGAAATAAGATACAATGGTGTGCATCCCATATGTTCAAGTGTTCGGCTTAATTCTTGAGCCTGGGAGAGTACAAGAAGATGACATGTTCAGGCTATTCACGAGGTGTTCCAGGAGTAGAAGAAGCCATGTTTGGCAATTCAGTCTTTCAGGTGTATGGTAAGCATCTAGAAGACAGGCAAGACAATAAGCAGATGGGCTGTGTGTTTAGAGATACTGTTACTTCCTATTTTCAGTAGTGGAGCACATATATACACATATCCCTTGGTGATTGGTCACAGGAGATGAGGCGAAAGCATCACACACAGCCATATTCATACCAGACAGTCTGCTGATCACCTTGAGAGTCAGGTGATGCTGGAGGGTTCTTGCAATTGACTCCTTTGTTTGCTTCATCAGTGACTCCTGTTGGAATGTGATTTTCTGGAGATCGGCTCTGGCCTTTGACAAGGGAGGCATCACTTGGGCCTGGCACTTGGAGACTACCCACCTCTGTACTGCTGGAGACAGCTCTGACTGGAGTCACTGTGGCTACTTCCCCAGACCGCAATGCCGGTTTGGTTTTGATTTTGGAAGTAGTGTATTGAGGAGGACAGTGAGATTCTAACCCTGTCCTTGCTCGTTCCTGCGGCTGACAATTCAGATCGTCCTTAGAACTGGTAGGAGAGTAAGAAAATGGAGACAACAAGAGTGACTTCTCATCTTTTGGAGGTGCTAGAGAGAGCCTCCTCACATCCAGCTGTCGACATCGAGAGTCAACGTTTTGCAATGAACCCACCACTTTTGCAGACTGTGGTCGCTCTCTCAAAGTTACCTGAGAGGCAGGCGCCAAAGGGACTTGAGGAGCCTGGCTCTCTGAGTCCTTCCTCATTTGGATGTCTGCTGTGGAAGCTTTTGGCAGGCTGTCATAGCGCCTGTATACTTCTGGGCCAGAGGCTCTGAGGAGGTCTGCAGAAGCCAAGCTGAAAGTACGGTTGAGAGATGTGCCTTGCCTGCTTGTGGCACTGCACTGCTGGGGCTGAGGTCCATGCCTGGGGATCCTGCTGGGTTGAGTGTGAGCTGCATGAGGAAGCTTGTAGGAGCCTGTGGAGTTCGCCAAAAGCTCTGGTTCGGCTGGCCTGAGGTTTGGTTTGACATAGTGGCCAGGCCTAGTTGGCCTCCCATCTTCATCAGCACCAGGCATCTTAACAGTTGGGGAGACATAGCTGGTAGGCGTCTTCGTTGTCTCCTTCCTATTTGCATGTGAAAACTGATTTCCAACAGGCAGGCGTTCATTTGCTTTTTTAAAATAATCACTCAGCAAGTCATCTTTACTGGTTGTCTCCTAAGTAAGGAAGGAAGGGGAAAAGGGAAATAATCACAATTGTGGGATGTGAAATTAGATCACTATCAAAACATAAATATGCACAAAATCAGCTGTCAAAGATGTCCTGCAAAATCCAATGCTTTGAGTGATTTGCATGTAAACAAATATTAAAATGTAAAGGTATTACCACTTTATGTTTAATTTTCTCTGCCCAAACAGAAAAAAAGGAACCGACAAGGGACAGTCCAGAATGATAATTAAAAAGCAGTTGTAGTGCACTCCCATTCTCAGGTCTGCATTCTGGAAAACACAGTCCAAAAACAGTGTCTTTTTCTATAAGCACAAGGTAATTTCATACAATATTTTAAATAGTTTTGTGCATGAAACAGAATTTGTGTACACTGAATCATCGGAAAGCAGAAGTGCACAATCGTGGAGTATTTTTGGTTTCAAAATTCCAGATAAGAGATGCTCAGCCTGTATTGATGCAGAATACAAACACTGGCATCAGTGTGTTGTTGGAATCATAGCCGGAATCACTGGGTTGTTATGAGTTTTCCGGGCTGTATGGCTACGTTCCAGAACCATTTTCTCCTGACATGAGCGAAACGCCAGGAGAGAATGCTTCTGGAACATGGCCATACAGCCTGGAAAACTCACAGTAACCCACTGGCTTCAGTGGTGAGATATATGGTGTACATTAGCAGTCTGCTGTCCAATTCTTAATGTGCTGGTGCCCTCAGCATATAATTAAATTAACTTACGGGTACTGACGCAGTCACTGAAAGCATAAATCAGACTTCTGTTGTAAATGAACATGGATTTGATTTAGGTAACTTGGTCAATGTTAAATATAATGTTTTTTTTAAAGATAGAAAAGTGATTAGCGACAGTGTTGACTATGAAGAGAGTTTCTGCAACTCTACACAGATCATATGGAGTGAACCCCACACAGCTTTTAAGTAAGGCAGTTGGAAATCAATTAGCCAATTGTAACAGAAAGTACAAACAAAATAGAACAAGAAGCAAAACAGAGCCAAACAAAACAAACGCTCTATGAATGCAAAAGAGCTTCTATGCTTTTTGCAGTCACTCATTTACTTTTTAGTAAATATTTTCAAAACTCATGCCAGGAAAATAATAATAAATGCCATTTAGTATCTTTGTAGCTAGGATCCTGGTAGCTCAGCTCTCATTCCATAATGACGAGCTTCCCATTTTATGAAGTTTGTAGCTCAGTGCACATACCAACTTCATGGGATGGGTATTCAGTTCCTGAAAGGCATTCAGATATTTATGCCTCTAATCATACAGCTGCATTGCTGACAATTTAACAAATATTACTCCATTAGTTAGTAGATAGATTTGTGTATGGAAAATGGACCAAATTTCTTCAGAAGTTGTGTATAAGGGGCAGGGATATGTTTGTTGAAATTATTCATTCCTGCATGGAAAAACCAACAATTTAATCAATTGTTTTCCTGCTGTGGAATATTTCTTAAAGCTGGTAAGTTTTTGGAGACATTCTTATGAGTGGAGATGGTTTCTCTGTTAAGTGAATTGTATAGCAAATGTTTTAGTGCCTTGAGTCCCACTGGGAGAAAAACAAAATATGAATTAAACAAGTAAACTCACTTTCTCCTTGTATCTTTGGAGATGGCCATGTAAAATGTTGGAAAGCTAAGTAAAAATTGCTGATGGGTATAGCAGTTGTCAATGCTCATTGGCTTCCCTCCCCTTGCAATGTAGCACAGGTGGTTGGAAGGAGCCAACTAAGCAATTGAAAATCCTAGCCATGTAATGGTGGAGCTGAACACAGATATAGTCATTATATAGACCTTCAGCTTTCCCTCTATTTTTCTGTTCTTTCTATGTAGTGGCCAGAGGAAGGTTGGGGGAAAGCCTACAAAGGATCACAAAAGAGGGCCTTCAATATTGTCCTCAGTGATGTTTCTAACACACAGGAACCCATTTACAGTTCCCTGAAATCACCCGCTATTATTTCCATTCATACTAATATAATTAATGCATTTCTCTAGTTGCTCCTGACACACAAAAAATGCATTATTTTCAATTAATATTAATCAGCATGAATTCTGCAACTAGAGCCCACCATACATTATCAAAATGCTAATATGTTATTAGTATTTCTCTTCCAATAGGGAGAAGTCTGTTTCCTTACGTTTGCTGGAGACAGCCTGTTGCTTTCTTCAAGGAATTCTTCCAAGGTGACCATCTCACTGCCTGGAGAGCCAGGTCGGTGCCTAACAGAACGTGCCTGGACTTGGTTACTTTTCTGAGGTATATCATATGACAAGCAGCCATTCCTGCTATGGGAAGCATTATGCTTAGTGTTGGACCCCACAGCAGGTGAGGAGATGGGGTAAAATGGACTGTCCCTAGAAGAGCCAGGTGTGTCTTTACTCAGTGCCATATCTTCACTGCTGAGACTCTCTGATCTGCCATGACCGCAGTCAAATGACCCTGCATCAGAATAATAACCAAAGTTATTTCACTTTTTATTTTGTTTTATAATAAAGCATCATTTCTAAAGACCAAGTAATACTCTGGGTCAGATAGACAGTAGATAAATGAAAACAAAACACAAACTTCATGTGATAAAAAATAGTGCATTGTATGGACCTTATCCAGTGAAATGAAGATTTAGTGTAACAGATGCTGGAAAGCCAGCTGGGTGACCTTGGACAGGTAACTCTCTGAACCTAGGAGGAAGGCCAAAGCAAACTCTCTCTGAACATATGATGCCAGGAAAACCAATGTGATGTGATAATCCTAAATGATAAAGTCATGAGGAAAGGCGGGTAAGAAATAAAATAATAGTCGCAGATTTTAAACGTCACTTTTTACATGACTATGCCATGCCACAATGTATAATTTTAATAAAGCTTTTACCTTTCAAGTTTCGAGGTGAGCTTCCAGTGGATACATTTTCACTATTCTCTAAACTGTTGGGTCTGGATTCTGGGGATTACAAAGAGAGGGGCCATCAAATAATCTAAAAGGAGTCTATCATCCAGACTGAATCATGTTAAGAAGGAAAACAATTGCTTTAGAAAAAGTGATTGGAAAACAAATAACTTGCAAAAAGGGCTTTCCTGATTTCTTTTGTCCCAAAGCAGCCCAACATACAAGGGTGAAAGGCAAAAAAATGGGTAACAGTAATTCACTTACTGTGTTGCTTGTTTGAAAGCTCTCCCTCGGGAAAATTTTCACACAGATCACCATCCGAATTATAGCCTGATTAGAACAATGTAAGATTTTAGAAGGGAACCAGTACAGTGCAGAGGGCTACCCCTAGTCTTGAATTTTAAAATTATATTTCAAAAATGAAACAGCCGCAACAAAGATAAACACCTTGAAATGCCTCTTGCACTTCCATTGGCGTGCAGAGTGTCCTCCTTGATTTTGCCTCCAAGAAAGGTTTTTTGGACTGGGAAAGATACTGGAAAATTAGCCCACTATTCCTGCATCAGGTGGACGGGTGCTCTGAATTTAAGAAAATCTGAAATCATTTTTGAAAATAAAAAGAAACCAGAGGCCATTGGGTGCCACATTTGCCTTTCAGGGGCCACAAGCAGCCTACGTGCTGCATTTTCCAAACCCCTTGAGATGGCCATGAGATTTGACTGGAGCAACAGTCCCAGTGAGGTTAGATGCACCACATACCTTTTTGGGTGAGTGGGCTTATTAACAAATGACCCTCCTTATAAATGTACAGCAGAGTAACATTAGTAGGAGCATGACCCAGCACTAACAGCCCAAAGCGATAAAAAGAAAAAAAACACAGAGACAAATGTTATCTCTTCCATCGGAGGTTTTTCTTTATAGCAAAATAATGTGGTTACACTATTTACAAGAACAAGGTTTCCATAATACGAACGAAGTTCTCCACACTTCCTTCTTTGCTTCCACGCTGGGCTTCTTTCTCATGCAGATAAATAGCTTAACTCTCACAGAGCCTCTTCTCACACCTATCTTACACAGGAGTTTCACACAGCAGCTTTTTACACTCAGCAGCCTTCACACTGGAGCTTCACACATGATGGCCTTCAACCTGGGGCTTCTCTTGTGGAAGCTTCTCACACCAGGCCTTCTCAAACTGAGGCCTACCTAACACTGAGGCCTTTCTCCCACTGAGGCGAACTAACAATAAGGCCTTCTTACACTGAGGCCCACTAACACACTGAGGCCCTTCTCCCACAGAGACCTCTCACAAACTGAGGGCGAACTAACACTGAGGACTCCTTATACTGAGGCCTACTAACACAGAGGCCCTTCCCACACAGAGACCTCTCACAGACTGAGGGGGAACTAACACTGAGGCCTTCTCACACTGAGCACTCTCACAGACTAAGGTCTGCTAATACTGAGGGTTAACTCAGACTGAGGGCTACTAAGCTACAGGCATACCTGCTTATATTGAACCGCAGCTTTTGCTGAGTCTTTGCATCCATTTAACCCTTTCAATGCTTGACTCACATTTTTGTAGTTAAAAAATGGTACCTAATTAATTTTTAATATTTCTGACATACCTTTGGGTCTGTTTTGTAGCCTAGATGTGGGAGTAGAAGTTGAAACAGCCAAGTAAGTGGATGAAGCAGAGTAAGTCCTGGAACTTGGCTCCACATAACACTGCTTGATAGTAGAGTCTACTGCATTTCCAACGTGGTCGCTGCTGCCTCCATAATGAGAAATTCTCTTCTGCTTTGAATCTATTAATTCAGAGTGGCAGAAGATGGAAAAACGAAGAGAGAAAGGCAATAAACTACCACAAAGCTGGGCTCAGATCCTTTCATTATTTTATAAATGCAGCAAGCAGACACATAACAATCAGACACAAGATGCATTACTGTGCAAGCTGTTTCTTTAAGGTCTATTATCAAAGATTATATATATGTTTGCATCCAATTCTGCAACAAAACTATGCAGTAGGTAGCTAATAAATGCCAGCAAAAGAAGAGAGACTTTTCTATCATATATTATGAAAGAGAATGGCCATACAGAAACAATGGGTGGGGAAATGCCACTGAAATTCTTCCGAGACTCCTGGCCTTTGCTTATTTTACCTGAAAGAAAACCCAAGTGAAGGATCATATTGTATTTATGATATCTCCTTGAATGTATTTTTTGTGTGTGTTGGGAACGACTTGAGAAACTGCAAGTCGCTTCTGGTATGAGAGAACTGGCCTTTTGTAAGGACGTTGCCCAGGGGACAACTGTGGGAAGCTTCTCTCATGCCCCTGCATCAGAAGCTGGAGCTGACAGACAGGAGCTCACCCTGCTCCCTGGATTCGAACTGCCGACCTTTTGGTCAGCAGTACTACAGGCACAAGGGTTTAGCCCGTTGCACCACCGGAGGCCCATTTTGAATGTAATCATAAAAGACAATTAAACTATGACATGAAACAAACAGGATTTGATCTATGATGGATTACTCTAGTGAGAAAGCATGTTTTTAACATGGTATCATTGAGGCTGAGATTTTCACTTATAAATTAAAGCTGCTGCTTAAACCATTAGTTGCAAAAGTTATTTGACATACTAATAAGGGAGAATTCATTAAATAATTCAGGGCTTTGAAAGCCTTAAGGCTCCCAAAGGAAAAACGGGGGGAAATATGCAAATTCAGTATTTCAACATGAGCTTTGAAGAGATGCAAGCTTTCACATTTCAACTGTTTTTTTAAATGATTCTTCATTGACAAAGGCACTACATTCCTGAGAAATAAAAAAGATGTGACACAAGTAACAAATGGCTAGTGCAGACAACAGACTGACAGATTAGTAGTAAAGACACAGATTAATTACAGAGCATATGAAGAAAGGGTGAGGAAAGAATCAGAGGTTGTGTATCAAAAACTATCTCTGTGTGAGTGTATGGTGCAATGGCAGAAAATGAACTAGGATATCCTACAGTGATAGAATGATGTGATCTAGGCAGGAAACTTTGCTGGACCTCATCTAATATATCTAAGGTTAAAAGGTTGTGGAAGTATCCACTCTGAACCCATTCCCTATTGAAACGTTGACACTGGAGAGCCAGGCTCTCTGTAGACCCAGGAAAATAAAATAATAATAATAATGTAGCATACATACTATTGCACTTAGGGAAGGAAAGGAAAAACCAAAGGGCAAGTTAATAACACTGCTTGTTGGGCACATTTGTAAGATTGGTCATATTTTGAATTGCAAAGTAGTTTTAACACTGCCGAGCACAGAAGCAAAGTTGCTTGCTCATTGCACAGTTGTGATGGTACTCTCACTACTGAAGTCAGAATACTGCACTTTTCTATGACATTAGCTCAAAAGGTATTTTCTAATAATGAGACAAACAGATGAAGTAACCTATATATAGCAGGCATGAGCAAACTTTGGCCCTCCAAGTGTTTTGGACTTCAACTCCCAAAATACCGGCTGTTAGGAATTGTGGGAGTTGAAGTCCAAAACACCTGGAGGGCCAAAGTTTGCCCATGCCTCCTATATACTCATGTATAAGTCCAGAAATGTTAATCAAAAAATCAATCCAAAAAAACCTGGGCTGACTTATCTATGAGTCATTGTAAGTACCCATAATTCTTGTCAAGCAAAAGTAATCCCCTTCTTCTCTGAGTGGAGTGTCAAAATGCAAGAATTTAGTCCATCCATAGAGAGCCTCAAAGAGAGCCTCTACTTTCTCCACTGCAATGCTAATACTGGCTATTTTGAATTCTTGGGTGGGAAAATGGCAGTGGTAAATGTCAGGGTGGTTGCTCCTCTAAGGCCCCATTCTACACTGTCAGATAAAATCCAGATTATCTGCTTTGAACTGGATTATATTAGTCCACACTGCCATATAATCCAGTTCAAAGCAGACTATATGGCTTATATAGATGGGGCCCAAGGAAGCAGTGGTGCTTTCTGTGCAGAATGACCGACTTATCCGCAAGTCACATCAAAATCCATAATTTTGGCCCCAAAATCTGCCCTCAAATTATAGATGAGGTTGACTTATACATGACTATATACCGGTGGTTCTCAACCTGTGGGCTGTGGTCCAGCAGTGGGCTGCAAGAATGAAAATCAGGTCCGTGAACATCCTTCCTCTTTATGAATTTATTTTATTTTATTTATTTTATTTCCGCTCCTTTCTGCCCCATTTGGTATCAATGTTGGAAAGTGGTACCTGGTCAAAAAAAGGTTGGGAACCACTGCTATATATGGGGTGTGTGTGTGTGTGTGTGTGTGTGCGCGCGTGCCATTTTGAGTCCCTCTCTGGGAAAAAAGTGGGATATAAATAAATAATAAAATTATATGAGGGTTAAGATGTCTAACTATCCCAAACTAGGAGATAAGTGCCTCTGCATCTTCATGCCTATATCATGACATTATCAGAACTGAATCAAAAGGGAAGAGAGTGTACTACAAAACCTTAGCTGGCTGTAATGATTCCTTTAGACAGAACATGCAAATATTTTTTTCAGGAGAACAAATTGCCTGCAACATAGCAGCAACAGCTTGTTTTCACATTGGGACAGGACATGAGGCACAGCAGCAACAGCTAAACATCACTGAAGCACACAGCAAGTTCACTTACTTAAGATGTGCACCATCACCAATATTGTAAACAAATATGGGCCCTGATGACATGGGTCTCAATAAAGTGCACTTGCTCTGATGAAATGTTCCCGATCACACAATAAAAAAGCCTTCACCTCAAGGGTAGGGGAAAATGTAGTTCATGTTGACTTGATCTGGTCTTGGATTTAGTTTGTGACAGTAATATGATGAATATCTATAATTTAGTGTGTAGACAGGTTAAGGTCCATTAAAAAAACAAACAGAAAAGCATAAAATAAGAGAAGAGAGGTGTTAGGGATCCCCCGATTCCGAGAAAGAAAGTGGTTCATTAGAAGAGGATGGGATGTCAGAAGACGACCAGAACCAGAGGCGATTAGAGAGAGATGGATGATTCGATGGAGACTTAGGAGACTTTTCTTTGGGCTTGCTGGTGCTTCTCAAAAAGGCAATCTTTTTGCGTTGAGCAGCTAATTGTTATCACCCAGAGATCCCGAAAAGAAGAAAAAAAAGGTAACAGAAATAACTAAAATGCATTTCAAACATCTAAACATAAAAAGGGCTAATTGTTTCTACAGCAACTACTAAATTAGTTAAGGGATTAGATAAGAACAAAGCACAGCATCACCCTCTAGTGTATATGATTAGAACAGACACTGTATGTTCATACATGAATTAGGCATCTTTGTTATTCCCTTCCCTACATGACTATACTTTAAAATGGGAATCTTAATGTACAATTCTTTAACAAGGGTTTGCAGGAAATAAAAACAACAGTTCACAGAATTCTGGGCTGAGATATGCTTGTTTTTCATCAATTTACTATATTCTGCAATGCTTTCAAACAAAGCATTATTTTCTTGAAAAACAGATTGTAATAACTATGAGATGGGGATATTTACAGTGTGTTCTACCTGGGAAGCATTCTGTGGAGAGATTAAGATAAAACCTAGATTCTTATATGATTGCACATCAAATATATGAATTATATTTGGATTCCAAGAAAAGGTTTGCTAAAACTTTGCCCTTATGCAGGATGCTGATGCATATTGCCCAATTGCTCTCAAGTATCTTCTCCTGGTAGTAAGTAATGCTAAAAAGACCACGGAGCTTCTGTCTTTTGTGCATTATGCCATCTGAACTGGGGGTACTAGCTATTTTTTCCAGGGTCATAATCTACAACCTAGTCAGAGTTCCTGGTTTGGTCTTGAAACTGTACCACAGACCACTGTTTGTAAAGGTCTTTGCAGGAGAAACCAAGCAGGAGTGATTAGGGAGCATGAATAGGGATGAACTTCAGAAACCATAAATAAAAATTCTCCAGCACATTGATTTATTGTTGCCACCCAATATGGCAATTTCTCTCTGTCGTGTAAATTCATTTTAGGAATTTATGTATTCTCAAATAGTTTATAAGGCCAGCATACAAATCAAATGATACAAACATATTAATACAGAAATACAATAAAAAATAGTACTGTATGAAACAGCTTTCTAACATGAGCCAGTTTATGCAAGGGAAAATGGATTGCGGTAAGATCACAGTGAGAGTTTACATGATGTTTTCATACCAGATTGTTCTCAGAATTGTATAAATTGTGATGTCGTTCTAGACAGTATATAAACCCCACGTTATGAGGTTGCTCAGGGGATGCCCAGATGTTTTGATGTTTTAGCATCCTTGTGGGAGGCTTCTCTCATGTCCCCACATGGGAAGCTGGAGCTGACACAGGGAACTCAACCATGGTCTCCCCAGATTCAAACTTCCAACCTGTCAGTCTTCAGTCCTGACAGCAAAAGGGTTTAACCCATTGCGCCATCAGAGGCTCCTATTGGAACAGGTACACAACATCTATATATGCAATTTATCATATATGCTAGCTAGACTATATAATAATACAATTAAATAGTCCAGGAAATAATGTATTAATGTATAAAGTACCTTTAGTCATAATGGCAAAAAAGTTTACTGTAAAAAGAAATCTTAACACAATGCAAAATTTTGCCTAAGGTTAGAGACAAATATGCATAATGCAGAATAGGGATGGTTCTCTTTAAAAAAAAAAAAAAACCTCAAAATTCCCCAACTGTGCTTTATGGGATCAGAGAGAATTTTTGCAAAGACATCCCCCAGAACTATTTTTGTTGCTAAAGATTACTGCAACGCTCTCTACGTGGGGTTGCCTCTGAAGACTGCCCGGAAGCTGCAGCAAGTACAATGCTCGGCAGCCAGATTACTAACGGGTGCTGGGTACAGGGAGCACACCACTCTGCTGTTACTCGAACTCCACTGGCTGCCAATTAGCTTCCGAGCACAATTCAAAGTGCTGGTGTTAACCTATAAAGCCCTAAACGACTCCGGCCCTGTTTACCTCTCCGAACGTATTCTCCCCTACGAACAATCAAGACCACTAAGATCGTCTGGAGGGGCCCTGCTCTCGGTCCCTCCGCCTGCACAAGCACGGCTTGTGGGGACGAGGGACAGGGCCTTCTCGATGGTGGCCCCTCGACTTTGGAACTCCCTACCATTAGAGATCAGAACTGCCCCCTCCCTCATGACGTTCAGGAAACTAACAAAGACCTGGTTGTGGAACGCGGCATTTGACAACTGATTTAATTCTTTGTCCACATGAAAGGAGGATGATGAATGGGATTGCGATGGTGTTGGACGATTTGGCTCTTTTAACTGTGATGATAATGTTTTAATGTGTATGGTGCTGATATTTTAATCGTGTAATGAAGTGGCATTGTGTTGTTATTGTATATTCTTTGTATGTTAACACATGTTGTGAACCGGTCCGAATCCCTCTTTGAAGGTGAGAGGGTAGGTATATAAAACCTCGAAATAAATAAATAAATAAATAAATAAAGAAGGCTTTTTCCAAAGCAAAAAAGTATTTTGAATCCAATTTTGAAAAAAGGGGGGCCTAAAACAGTTGAGAATGGACATAAACACGATAGAATTTATTTATTTATTTATTTATTTATTTACAATTTTTATATTGCACCCTTCTCACCCTGAAGGGGACTCAGGGTGGATCACAATGCACACATACACGGCAAGCATTCAATGCCATTTTCTAGACATACAGAATTGCCACCACACCCCCTAGAGCAAGCATCCTCAAACTCTGACCCTCCAACTATTTGGGCCTCCAACTCCCAGAAGCCTTATCCAGCTTGTTCAGTGGTCAGGAATTCCAAGAGTTGGAATCCCAAACAGCTGGAGGGCCAGAGTTTGAGGATGTCTGTTCTAAAGGAAATGAATCCAGATTATAAGATAGATAAAGCCTCGCAGCACAGTTTCAGTTCTCCCCCACTCCCCAGGAGAGTGGGGCCAATTTGCTTTGCAAAAATATTTTAATCCAAAATATTTGAGAAAATATTACCAAAAAGAACATTTTTTTTTAAAAAAAAGAGGTGAACAGGAAGTGATTTCCTGTTACTAAAAAGGTTTCAATGGCCAAGAGGCACTTAAAAACACAATGAAAACACTACCTGCATCCCCAGAGGGCATTTTGGGTATTCTAGGGAGGTGTACATTTCACTTCCTGAGTTGAAGAGTTTACCCAGTCTCATGGGTGGGCCAATCCTATTATTGACTATTGAGTATGCAGTAAATTCTCAATTAGATATTCCCAACAAAGGAAGACTACGTCTGTTTGAGCTTCCAAAATGGGGAGGAGGTGGATCACACCATTAGTAAAGACATCTAGAATACAGTAATCTAACATGAAATGCCTGCTGTACTTTGACCAATCAGTCATTTAGTGGAGCACTGCTTACCTTTGCTCATAGGTCCACTGTTTTGTTCTCTCTCTTCCATGGAGCTGGAATCTACAGATGTGTTCTCCAGGCTCTCCTGCTTGGGAAGCTGTGTAGGAGGGGGAGATCCTGCTGTCTCTGTGCTGTCAGAGTGCCACGGAGGGCTCTCTGCTGAAGATTTCAACCTCTCTCTCGTAGTCTCTTTCTTTGGTTTTATAAGTTTAACCAAGGCTTTGGCTCCGATCCAATGGTTTTTCCTATTATTGGTGAATTTTGCAAAGAGAGCAATCAGCAATTTAACTCTGCAAAGCTTTTAAAAGCACACTGACCACTTTCCAAAACATTCTAGATTTTCACCAACGAACAGTATCTAAAACTGATAAAGCATAATGGAGGTAACAAACTGGGAGTTTTAGATTCAGTAGAAGTTGTAGTGTGTTTCACTCCTTCCCTCATGTTCCCTAGGATTCAAATTAGGAGATTTTCCACTATCTATAGGAGGGAGAGTTGGTGTCTAGATGTTTCAGCCTTCACCACAGATGTTTATAACTTGCATTCTCTTACGACACAACTATGATGCTGAGGGCTCATAAAAGGTGCAGTGCAATATTTGGAGGGTCACTTATTCCTCCTCCTTCAATGGTAATTTCTCATTTTATACACATTTGTAAATATGTACAATGATGAGTTCCTGTAAGTTTTCCGGGCTGTATGGCCATGTTCCAGTTAATTCTCTCTTGACGTTTCACCCACATCTATGGCAGGCATCTTCAGAGGTTGTGAGGTTTGTTGGAAACTAGGCCAATGGGGCTTATATATCTGTAGAATGTTTAATAATGCTGGAAAATGACACAATATAAAATCATAGTTCTATATCTTGGCTTATCTAAAGCCATTAACCACAATTTCCTGACATGTATGCAAAAGGAAAAAAAAGCTAAAGGGGGAACTCCTGTTTTATTCAGCTGCTTGAAAAACGAAAATAAGCAACTATAACCACGGGTATTTTGGTTTCCTGCCCAAGCTTCAATAAAGTTTAATTTGTTTAGTAAAGAGAATGTAGTCAGTTGCAACCTTTTTCTTACAGAGGGAGAGTATACAAGTTATTTTCATGCAAAACTAACTTGTACATGTGCAGTTTTATTTTGCAAAACTTACTTTTTTGGAGCTGGATCATAAAACTTATACTGATCCATTATTTTCTCCTCCAGTTTTTCTTTGTGTCTCCTTAAGGCATTTAGCTTATCACTGTTGAAAGCCAAAGCAGAGGAAAAATAAGTTGAAGGGTGCTACTTGCTGGAAATGGGTGCAATTAACTAATTTGAATGTGCAGAATTTTCTAGAACAAAAGTCTGCATCCCTGAAAGAAAAACTTGATGCAATGAAGTTTTTTTTTCTGAAGTAACATCTATAACATAGCAAATGTAATCAACAGTATGATTAAGCTTTTTAGCAGTTTTGATTGATAGAATAACTACCAAGCTATTTTATTACACACATAAAAAAGGGAAGAAATGTAAATAACATTTCTAAAAGGCGTCGGTCATTACAACATGTCGCTTGTTTGTTTCCGAGAACTATTCAGACAGATGGATGAAATCAATATCAGTGTCATGTTTGACCAGAGTCCAAGAGTCCAGCATTTTAACTCTAGTCTGAGAAAAATCATGGGTTGACAAGAATTTTTGGTTTGAAACTTATTGTGCACAAAATTAATATGTAAATTTTTGCACTGAAAAAATAATTTTATGTCAGGAAGCAAGTTCTTTTGTGCAGACAATAATATTCCTGGGTAAAAATATTGTTTGTGCCATTTTCTATACAAATATCTATATGCAAATTTTGTGTACAGAATAATTTATGAGCAGAAAACAGCGTTTTCCACATAGGAAATAATATTTCATTAGACCGAATCTACAGAACACCTTGTGTGCTAAAGCTCTGCAAAGCAATCAAATAGTTTATCAGAAAACATTCTGAATTGCCTTTTAGCTGCCTCAGTACAATGCAATTGAAATAGAGATTTACTGAGGTTTTCCAGTTTTCTCAACCCTGTTATTTGATCACTCATCACAATGACAGCAAAATAAACAGGTAAAGAAAGGACTTCTCTTACATATATTGCTTCTGTTCCTCATGATATTGTTCCTTGTTCTCCATATTCTGCTCCAGTAACATTTGGTTCTGCTGACTCAACATCTGGATCTGACTTAGGAGGTGGTGATTCTCTTCCTCCAAGTTTCCTTTCAGTCGAGCAAGCAGCTATTCAACAGACATGCCACAGGTGAATTTCTTGGCCTGCACAATCTAACAGGCCAACAGAAGACACCAAGCCAGGCACCAGCTCTGTGTTAGACTGGCTGCTGGTCTACTGAATGCCAAACCCATTAACAAGAGCCCTATCCACTTCAGATGAGCAAGCATCATGACGTCCAACTGAAATCAAATCAGAATTACACTACACATGATGGATGCCATGGCCCAACTTGAGTTGTGCTGAAGTTCTGCACAAAACAGAGTGGTGAAACTTAGAAGATGACTGAATATTGAATGTTTATCCTGCCTGAGCTCTCCCAGGAAATACAGGAGGCAAATAGCCATCTCTCTGAAAATTGGTTGGGGCAAATGAAAGCAAAGAATGCAACTATTTATTTCCACTCTGCTTTACACTCTCTCCCCGTATTTCAGATCTGTCCTTGAAAAACACGTGTTTAAGGAAACTATATACTAAATTATGCTCAGTGGGTTTTTTTGTGTGTGAAATGAATTATCCCCAACATACAGATAGCCACCTGCATAGATCTCACCTCACAGTGGTTGTCCAGCTTGGTCAAAGAAATATCCATGGCCTGGTGCTGTTCCTTCAGTTCATCATAGCGAGCTTGCCAACGGTTCAGTTCTAGCTGTGAGTTATTCAAGGAAGTTTTCAACTCCTTAGTATGGGAATGAAGTCCTTCGTATTCTGCCTTGAGCTTGTTGTGTAAAAAATTCACCCTAGAATGAGGAAAACGGAGCACCTCACTCCTTCTGCCATCATATCTCCAAAAACAATGTTTTGCACAACAGAATAGTGATCGTAAGATTTCCATCTGCAATAATTATGGTAATTAAATCTTGGCCTTTATAAAACAACAACAACCCACCTTTTTTTTACGTGGAGAAGTGCCACAAAAATGGTTATCAGCCATGTTAAACAAAGAGGCAAATATTTATGTCCTCCTACCCCCAAGTAAGAATCTAACTTAATTCTGCTCTATTTAGCATACTACATGCTCTTATACCTTTCCTCATACAAAAAACATTACAGTAGTGTTCTTAAATCTTTAAGAAAATTCTTAAAATAAGTTTCTATAAACTTCCTAACAACCTGAATGTTGCAGAACAGTTCAACTATTTACAGTTTTCCAAGATGAACAAGTAACTTTTCAAGAGGGTTCAATCCTATTGAAAACATATTTCTGCAGGGTACCAGAACTACTTTTATGAATAAGTAGCAACATTTTAAAATTAAAAATAATTCATTGAAAGACCCCACAAATGGCCCTTTATTTTTTATTTATTTACTTTGCTTGTATACCGCAGTTTCTCAGCCCGTAGGCGACTCAACGCGGTTCACTACAAGAGCAAAAAGTCAATCATAGCAACATGCAATTTAAAAAGCATTAACAGCATTGTATACAAAGTAATGACACATCAATAACAATACATTAACGTCTCATAACTAGAATCGTGATCCAATTCGTCATCCATAATTCCGTTCCTATATTCATCGTATTCATTGCACTGTTTATCCGAATGCCTGTTCAAACAGCCAGGTTTTTAGTTTTCTTCGGAACACCATTAACGAAGGAGCTGATCTAATGTCCGTGGGAAGGGTGTTCCACAGGGTGTTCCACATTTTTTAATCAATGTGTGCTTGATTTACCGTATATATTCGCGTATAAGCCAACCCGATTATAAGCCAAGGCAGCTAATTTTACCACAAAAAAAACTTATTGACTTGAGTATAAGCCAAGGGTAGGAAATGCAGCAGCTATTGGTAAATTTCAAAATAAAAATAGATACCAATAAAATTACATTAATTGAGGCATTAGTAGGTTACATTTTTTGAACATTTACATAAAACTGTAGTTTAAGTTAAGACTATCCAACTTTGATTAAATCATTATTCTAACCTTCTTCGATGCAACTGTGTTTACGTATTCTTCCAATAATCACCATAGTTTATTTTAAGTATACATTCACTGAAGTGTAAGCAGAGGGGGGCATTTTTAACCAAAAAGGGCTGAAAAACTAGGCTTATACTCAAATATATACAGTATATGTATTTTGAGATTGCACTGGGAAAACGTGTCCTTTCTTCTCCACAGTTGGCCATCCTTCACACAAAGGATGGTTAACTACTTGGGGAAATGTTGGAATCACAGCATCAGCCTCAATGTCACAAATGGTGTGTGTGTGTTTCATAATTTCCAAAGATAGGTACCTTTCTACTTCTTCTCTCAGCTTCTGGTTCTCTGCTGTCACTATAATGCTTGCTCTCTTCTCCTGCTGAAGAACATCTTTTTCCGCTTTTAAATCCATCTCCAGCTCTTCTAGTTTGGCTTTGTGCTGCACCAAGCTATTATATCTGAAATATAAGAGTGAGAATGCATGCTATGTTGCTGTAAAAACATAATATCATGCTTTTGGATCACATAAATGGAGTAAAACCCAGCAAAAAACTAAGTATGTTTAAACACATAGTTTATTTGCTCCTCGGAAAGCTTATATGAATTCTTTCAACTTTGGAGAATAGGCAAAATACAGGTCACATGCAGCAATTTCAGGCTCCCACGAGATCCCAGCACAAAGACAATTATTTTTGCAGTTTGTTTTCACTAGAACTATGTCTACTGGGGAGAGGTGAGTTTTTTCAGGTGTTTGACCTTGCTAGGCCACCACAGGGTAAGTAGGGGCCTGTTCAATGGGATTGGGGGGTGGGAGAGCTGACTTTGTTGTTCCTGCACACACAAACATATATTTAATTTTTGTTACATAGTGTAATTTAAAAGAGTTTTATTATTGTTTCATAAACTTATAAAGACAGCTGCCTTGAATCAGGATACAGTAATCAACAGCTTTTCTCTATGCCATGATTCCCAAATTCTAGTCATCCAGGTGTTCAACACCTTGGACTTCAACTCCTGGAAGACTCAACCGTCTTGGTCAATTATGAGGGATTCTAGGAGCTGAAATCCAATATACCTGGAACACCAGAGTTTGGAAAACACTCCTCTAAGCACCAAGGTGATCCCTGAAACACCAGCTAAGATATGCTATATTTTGGAAGGAGGTAGAAAATTGGTTCTTCTGGGCCAAGACCTTTTGTTCATGGGCTGAATTAGGACCAAGGACAGAAGGCCAACCCTCCTTAATCCTATATGTAATCAATTACCAGGATATCGTAGACCAAGTTTCAAGATCTTGTGTGGAGTGATTGCTTACCGTTCTCCCAGATCTTTGTGCTCCTGGTCAAGATTTTTATGCAATGTTTTCAGGCAACTGTGCTGTTTTATCAGCATCTCATATTCTGTTGACTGCCGCTCATGCAATGAAGCCAGATGTTCATGGTCTTGAAGTAGGGATTCATACTCTGATTTAAGCTGTTCTTTTTGCTTCATTAGATGTTCATATTCATTATCTTTGGCCAGCTGCTGGTTCTGGAGCAGAGTGTTCTGGGCCATCAAGGAGGCACTCTGAGAATTTAAAGTAGAATTCTCTACCTAAAGTTTCACAAAGAATCAGAAGGACATATTGGTTCACAGATACAAAGTGAAGTGAATGCTATAAACCTCACCGATAAATATTATTGTTTTCTCTGTTTCATATTGATACTGCTAGTAGTTGTTACTAGTTTCAATAAAATAAAGCACACAGTCCATTAGTAAACAACAACAATAACAACAACAACTTTATTCTTGTATCCCACCACCATCTCCCCAAAGGGACACGGGGCGGCTTACACACAGCACAAGGTGCCTATAAACAGAACATAAAATAGAAACAATTTAAAATACAATTAACAAAAATATATGTGGGGACAAAACAGATATGTATTAATCAGAAAGCAAATGATAACCTGGAGGTTGTTTTTTGAACTGCATGCTGGATGGAGGAGATTCTCCGCCCATCCGTGACAAGACATTCAACTCTCAGTTGGTTATTGGTTTGATCACTGTTTTATATTTTGTTACAATGGTCTTATTTTGTCTTGTTCTATATTGTTGCTTTACATTTTAATTTGTTATGTTTTAACTGTTCTGTTGGATTTGGCCCCAAGTAAGTTACCCTGAGTCCTTCGGGGAGATGGAGGTGGGGTATAAAAATGAAGTCATTATTATTATTCTTGTTCTGCAAATTGTAGCCCCAACAAAGTAATTTTACAAGCTCTGACTAAAACAAACACTTTTTGCTTTAGCTATAACGTGAGTATGTTAATCATTAAAGGGAGCAGGGAAGGGGATCAACCGCCCTTTCCTTCTCCACCTTCCTTTCCCAGACTTCTTTGCTTGAAGATTTATTCCACAGCCCAGTTTCTATGTCAGATGTGGGGTGGAGGATTAATAGAATGGAGTGTGGGAGGAATCAGGGGGTTTCAATCCCATTCCTAAATAGATTTATTTAGTGGCAGACATGGACTCCACCTAGTGTACATGTGTCTAGTTTGGCATCTGAATTGGAATATAGATATTTTCTAGCCACAGAGCAAGGTGGAGTCCAATCAAGTGTGTAAAATTCAAGTATCTTGAACATTTGTGAGAATAATTCAAACAATTAACTCTTTTGCTAATGGAAAGAAAACAACGCCTCCTAATCCCAGGCCCATTCTTTCTTCTCAGCACCAGATCTTCCACTATATGGTTGAACTGAGCCAACTAATTAACATATCTCCATGGTGCGACTGAGGCAGTGCTTGCGTGCTCATTCTTTTTCTCTGTTGCTGCAGGCTACAGTAACTGTGTGAGTTAACTGGAAGGGAGGGGGGCATATGTCTTTTTTCAACTACAAAAGGCTGAACTAAAGACTCCATTCCAAGGATATCTATAGCCTTTTTCTCTTCCTAAACTGCAGGAATCCACATAGAAAGCAACGCACATGAAAATGCAGTGTAAGCTTCATTGTCATAGATGAACAGCTATTATTAACTGGTACAGTATTTAAAAACCTCATTTTCTTTAGCCACTATATGATTTGAACAGATTGATATGTGGTCTTGGTAGGCAAAAAGATGATTATAATATTTTAAATGCATTCTTGCTATATTCCATTTTTTAAAACATGGTTTTTTCTCACTTTTCAACAATACCCAAGAGCTGAAAAGTACATAAAAGCCAACCATTCCCAATTTTTCTCAAGAAGCAACTATTTCATAATTTTATTGTGATGGCTATCTTTTTTTTCATCCAATTACCACTCTAACGATGAACTCAATACAAGAAAATGGCTATTTTGCACCTCTCTAAAGTAATCTCCCAACAAGGTTGCTGATTGAGGTGCCTACGAATGCTCACAGGAGGGAAGGATATTGGAGGTGAAGATAAAGTACTTTGGCCACAGAATGAGAAGACAGGAAAGCTTGGAGAAGATAATGATGTTGGGGGGGAAATGGAAGGAAAAGGGAAGAGGGGCCGACCAAGAGCAAGATGGATGAATGGTATCCTTGAAATGACTGACTTTACCTTGAAGGAGATGGGTTTGGCAATGGCTGAAAGGGAGCTCTGGCGTGGGCTGGTCCATAAGGTCATGAAGAGTCAGAAGTGACGGAACAAATAAGAAACAACAACAACAACAGTAATTTTCCTGACCTGAAGCTTGGCTGTTTGTGTTTGCATTGCAGTGTTGTGCTCTTGAAGAAATACATTTTGCTTCTGTAGTGTCAAGATCTGATTGTTGAAGGAGGTGTTCTGAGTTTCCAAATGTCTCAGCTGTTCCTTGATAAGCTGCTTTTCCGCATGCAAGGCTGCATTCTGAGAGAGATAATTAAAAAAGAGAAAGAAAATTACATTGATATGTATCCTTATATGAACCAGGATGCAAATAAAATTTACTGCACTCTTAAATATCTTGTGCAAACAGTGCATGAGTTTCTTTCTAAATTATATATCTCAAACTGAGATGTGGTGCCAGGGCACAAAGGCCAAATATGAAACTGCATTGCCTGCCCCCAAGAAAGAAGGTCATGGTGAGGTGGAAGCCAAGCTGGTGGGCAAGGAAAGAGCACCTGGAGGGAATTAACTTCCTTCTTCCCTGTTGGAAAAAACTCAGATCTAACTCCCAATTTTCTAAACTGGAGAGCAGATAGGAAGTAGTCTATCCTGGGCCCAAGTCCAGTTCCCAGGACAATTATCATGGCAAAGGAAAGACCAATCTGCCCCTCTTCAACACAGTAAAGGAGAAAGAGCTCCAATGTTTGCTTTCATCCTCCCTAGTCACCTCTTTTTCCTTTGTTAAATTGTGTTTATGAGCCTGATACCTTTTAATATCTGGACAATACTTAGAAAATATAAGGAACATTATAGCTATTAATAAGAAGCAGTTACATATAAAGGAAATGACATTTCATTCCAATGTCATTAAATCACAGAACGAATTTAGGATCCATTGGAAGCATCTTGGAATTCTTCAATGGTTGGGAGGGAGTTATTCGTTTGGGCTACAACAGCCAGAATTTACAAACCAGTAGAGAAATTATTTGGAAAAAAAAACATCTGAAAAGTTGTTTTAGTGAGCTCTGTAACATTTCCTGACCCTAGTGAGAGTGATAGTGATGTCCCATGGTTCTATGTTTGAGCCGCAAAATGTGCTGTACTCCATCATTCTCTTTAAAATGCACATATTGACAAATCAATCAATATAAGGATGCTTTTCTTGAGAAAAGAATAAGATCAAAAGCCAATGGCTTAAATAACTTGAGTTAGGCAGTTAGCTTTTCTTAGTGTGGGAAGAAGGGGTGGCATTGCAGAAAAGTGATCGATGCTATGCAGTATGAAGAAAATACACAGCCTGAGGAGAAAGAGAAACTCTTAAGAATATATGACCTGAATCCAATGTGAGACATGACAAATGGAACTACTTTTTTCACCAGAATCAGGATAATGCAGTCACCTCTTCTCACCTCAAAAATGTGTTCCAAAGATTATGGAAACCCTCTGGGTGGAGCAAACAGAGGAGAAGGAATTTCTATTACACAAGTGCTCCAAAGTCAACTTGATGTTTGATATGGGTCTGTGAGTTTTCCAAAGTATGGCACAAACATTTTTAGAGCCAAAATGTACATGGATTAGTTGGGTAGACAGAAACATATACAACCTAACAAGTCAATTCACGACTTAGTATGAGCACAAGTCAAATATATTAATCCGATTCCTGAAAACACAAAACCTACATTCCTTTCCAGTTCTATAGCTCTGTCTTTCACTTTGAGAAGCTCCATTGTTGCTTCTTTGTGACCCTTTTCCCACTTCTCCTTTGCCTGTTGACCAGAAATGTTTCCAGAGGGCTGTTTCAATGAATTCTGCATTCCTTCTGCTTGCTTCTGCTTCAGACTTTCAAAGTCCTTCCTCATCTGTAAATATAGATAATAGTTTATAAAATATGTACTGTCTACAGATATACATTAGCCTGAAGCAAAAGCCACAGTTTTCAATCAACTGATTCCATGACATGTGATCAAAATGATTTACTTTAAAGTTGAGACGGGGAGACTTTTCTCAAATCATTATTATAAGAGGTGTGTCACTCAGTACGAACTCTTTAGGAACAGTAAACCCAGGGAAATGTGACCTATATCCAACAAAAGAATTAGAAATGGAATGACTTGTGCCATCCATCTAGAGCTGCATTTCAGCAGAGGTAAGGCTAAAACCCAAAGAGATACAGAATATTATTCTCTCTGCCACTCTCTTCTCATCCAAATCCTCTGCTGGTTTCCTCCTTACCATATTTAATTCATTCTGTAGGTGCTGATTTAAGTTAGTGAAGTCTTGCAGTTGAGCCTCCAATAAAACAATTTTCTCTTCTTTGTAAGTTAGTGCTGTCTTTAGAGCAGATCCAGTTTTGCTTTCCAAAATCTGATATTTCCTGTGAAGTTATAATAACAGCATGTCAACCATAGGAAATGTAAAACAAAATTCAGGCATTTCTCAAAAATACTACAGAATAAACCACAAAATATTTGTCATCTATTCATTTTCTATTTTCTCATTTGCAAATATATGCTGGTAGGTTTGGCAACATCAAATTAGTGCAGAAAGTACCTCCATATGCTAAAGGTACTACGCTGGAGGGAATTTCAAAGAGGAAAAAAGACAATGGCATCAACCATTAATGGATCAATGGTGCTACATAGACAGCTTGTCAGTTGTGACAGCAGTGATTATCTATGTTTGATCCTTTCTCCATGTGATAGATACTGCTACTGAAAGGCTGAACTGTTCTATGAAGAAAGCTAAGAGGGAAGAGACCGTTATGCATATAAATGGTTGCATTTCTAATGTTTTAAAATGGATGCTAAAATGGTTTCAATAGTGAGTGACATGGCTAAGAACATGTTAAATGACAGAAGAATAACAGGATAATAATATCCCTTATCTGGAATGTTTGGGACCAGAAGTGTTTTGTATTTCAGCCTTTTTAAGATTCAGGAATAACTGTATTTGTATGTGCATGTGCGTGTGCGTGTGTGAGTACACACACACATACAATGGAGATGGGACCAAAGTCTGAATATGAAATTAATTTATGGCTAAAACACACCTTATACTTATAGCCTGAAGATATTTTTATACAATATCTTTTACAAATTTGTACATAAAACTATTTTTGTACACACTGAGCCATCAGAAAACAAAGGTGTGGGCAATTTCAGATTTTGAAGTGTTTTGGATTTCATAATTCTATGTACCCCCTTGTCAACCTATGTTTAAGTAAAACCTTGATCTGAATGAAAACATTAAAGGAAAAAATCCTACTCGTTCCAGTGAAGCCACAACTTCATTTTAAATTTCCTATGGTTGGCATAGGTAGACTTGGGTTGTCTAGACATTTCAGATAATTTGCATAATCACTGAAAAATACCTAGTGGACAACAATGTGTTACAAAAGCTTTTACCAAGCTTTTTTATTTTTGAAAAAAAATTGCCTCCAATTTAATTGGTTTAGTTATTTCAGTGTCCAATTATGAAATGTCAACATGACTGGGTTGGGCTTTAGTGCAGCAGGTTAAACTGTTAGCTGCAGAAAATCTTGTCAATTTAAAAGTCAGGTTGGGGTGAGCTCCCAACCATCAGCCCAGTTTCTGTTCATATAGAAGTTTGAAAACAGCAATGAGAGTACATAAATAGGTACTGCTTTTGTGGGGAGATAATAATAGGCACCCATGCAGACATGCCACCGATTCAATCTAAGGACAACAAAGCTCCTCGGCATGGAAGATGGCACAATACCCCCCCGTGGTCGGTGTCAAGCACAGCCTCCAGATGTTGGAGATAGAAAAAGATGGGAAGCTTTTCCCTAATTGTATAATGGCATTGAATGTTTGCTGTATATATGTACAGTAATCCACCCTGTGTCTCCTCGGGGAAATAGGGCAGAATATAAATGAAGCATAGAATTATGTATAGTTTGTCTCATCCTCAATATCTCTGGTTCTGAGAGATGACTTTTGTCTACCTGCAAAGATTTTGCAAAGAAACATATAGCAATTCAACTTCTCTAGCACAAGAAAGCACCCATGATCTTAGAGAAGTCTTCATCTAAACCAACTTTTGACAAATTATCTAGAGAAGAAGTATCTAGAAGTCAATGGAGTGTAAATTAAATGGTGCAAGAAATCCTTCCACAGCCTCATCAGAAATTAACCATCTTCTCACTTGTCATTGCTGGTGTTATCATCCTGTAGCAGTAGCTCTTTATTCAATCCAATCTTCTCTAGCTCTTGTTCAAGCTTGTCCATTTCATTTGACAATCTTTGGCTCTTTAATTTCTCAAGAACCAAATCCTAGACACAGGAATAATTTTGGTCATTTTAAGAGTGAGAAAAAAACCAATATGAAATACTTTCTCCTGGAGCAACAACAGAATTGCCGGGGGGGGGGGGGGGGGGGGGGGGGGAGGCTGAACATCACTTCATGTATTATCACCCATGCACACATTAATATTGTTGCTATGGAGAAAAACCTATTATACTTACATATAATGTTCATGTATTGAGAAATACAGGTGATTTATTCAGCTAAAGATTTGTGTGTATCTTGGTTTAATAAAGTTAAATAGAATGGTTCGAATGGCTTTAATATGCAAATATTATCTTTGCAGAGTATATATGGCTCTGCTGTTCTGTGTGCATGAATCTACAATTAGCTGGGGACGTATGATTCCCATTTCTATGGATAAGTAATCAAGAAGGTAGATACTAAGGCAGTGGCTTTCATATGATTCTATGAGTTCATGACTACTGAAAGAATGCTGGTCATGAATGCTGGTGTGTGTGTGTTACACATATACATATTGAAAGGAACACTCATGACTGATAAAGGGCAGCACTCTTCATGCAAACATACTATCATGACTTTATTCACCTCTCTCAACGTTGATAGTGTTCTCTTATCGATGGTAACTTGCTTTAGGAGATCTTTATTGTCCTTTTCAAATTCTTTCATCTTATTTGATGAGTCTTTGAACCTAGAGAGTTCTCTCTCTAGTATTCTGTTTTCCTTCTCCATTGCTGTCAATTTGACAGTGTTGTCATCCAAATTTGCATCTTTCAGCTCTACCTGCTGCCAAAGCCTTTTTGCCTCTCGCTCCAGAATTTTCTTGTCTTTATCTAACTGGGACACTTCTTGCTCCAACAGTTTCTTTTCCTTTTCCAGGCATTCCATCCTCTTATTTGAGATCCTGAACTCCTCTAAATTTCTCTGAAGAGTTTGATTTTCACTCTCAGCACCTTGGAGCTCTTTCTCCAACTGCTGGATTTTCCTGCCATTGTTCTCTAGAATCTGCTGGAGCCTTTGGTTCTCCGCATTCACACTCTGGTAACTCAACTCCAGTCTTTCCGATTTCTTGATCAAAACTTTTAACATCTCTACATTTTTCTGAAGTTCTTCCTTTTCCCTTTCCAATTCTTTATTTTCTGCTTCTATCTGGACTATTTTTGCACTAGTAAATTTCATTGTCTCTACCATTCGCCTAAGTTCCAGGTTCTCTTCATCTAGCTTCTTGTTGTCCTTCTCTAAGGTTTCCAATCGGACAGAAACATTGTGTAAGGTATCTAAAGATTTTTTCAGCTTTCTGTTCTCTATTTCCAAATCACAATTTTCTTGTTCCAGAACCTCTGCTTTCTCTGCAGTAATTTTCATGGCGGCAACCTTTTTGGTGAGTTGCTCATTCTCTCTCTCCAACTCATGAAGCTCTTTATCCATTTCTTCAACTCTCTCTACTTTTTTCTTCACTTGCTCAAAATCCTTCTGTAGTCGCTTCTTCTCAAATTCCAGCTTGCTGAGTTTACTGCTAGTCTCTGTAACTGCTTCATGGAGTACTTTGTTTTCCATTTCAATGTCTTTTATTCTTGCCTCACTACTGACTTGAGACCTCTGCCTCAGAGATAAAACCACTTGATTGAGATGATCAGTTTCTTTTTCTAGATCTTTTATCTACAATTGGAAGAAAAATAAGGCAGCCCATTAAATATAATGAATATCCATGTATTTCAGCAGTCACCATGCAAGGATCTGCGTTGGGAAAGTACACTGCCTTCAAGATAAAACTGCACCATGTCTCCTGTCCCACCTTCTGCAGGACATACCTCCCCACTTCACCTCCTATCTACAACTATTTAGTGACCAATGAGCATTGGAGAAGCATCTGGCTATGTCCCTGTAATTAAGTATAGAATGACACCTCCTTCAAGACCTACAAAGGGCCCCAGGAAGTCCTAGAGAGTGCCTCTGTCATTCTGTGTCTGGCTATAGGGACATAACCAGAAGCTTCTCTGATGCTCTGTGCTCTCTTCCAGACAATACATGGCCGTATTGGGAAGGTGAAGATGCAGGAAGTAGGCGGGTCTTAAGGTGGTGAGGAATGTTGCAAGTAGTGAATGTCTCCTTCCACAATAACTATAAAAAGGACACATGTCTCTAACGGAATAGCAAACACAGTAAAATAAAATTTAGGTCCGATACAGGACATGTAGAGTAATGAGTTCCATCGTAGCAAGATATACTTCAAATAAAAGGTACTGTCCTTGGGTCTATGACTTTGGTGCTCCATTATGTTTGGTCTCAAACAATTAACAGACAGATCAAAGCTAATCTACACCTTCGTGAGACAGTTACTCTAGAACAAACACTTAGGCCTAAAGTATTACAGAGTTGTTAGTGCCAGTCACTAACTGGTGTCAGGACATGCGCTCAACCCAGGATTAAAGCTGGGGAAAAGGATGTGATCTGATTAAACCAGTAGATGGCTCTCTACACTGAGACAAATTTCTGTGTGAGATGATCCCTCAAATCACTTTCCACATAACCTCGAAGCAATTTCCACATAACCTCGATAAAATATAATCTGAAACGTGCTTGCTTCTTATTCTGGCCACTATTTATGACCAAAACATGTCACTGGGGGTGTTTATTTCAGTATAGTTAGAATTTTGGTTTTATCATATCACAAACAATTACTGTATAGAGTCTGAAAATTTACTTTTTGTATTACAACTTCTGGAAATGTCCAGCCAGCAAGCCCACTAGATGGTACAGGATTACAAATAGTAAAATAACTACAAACTATTTCAGGGAAAGGTTATTTCATTAAAGTAGCATACAATTTTATTGGCTAAAATCATAGATTCATAGTTTTGGAAAAGACCTTTTAGACCATCCAGTCCAACCCCCTGCCAAGAAACAGGAAAATCACATTCAAAGCACCCTCGACAGATGGCCATCCAACCTCTGTTTGAAAGCCTCCACCACACTCTGAGGCAGAGAGTTCCACTGCTGAACAGCTCTCACAGTTAGGAAGTTCTTCCTGATGTTCAGGTGGAATCCCCCTTCCTGTATTTTGGAAGCCATTGTTCTGCGCCCTAGTCTCCAGGGCAGCAGAAAACAAGTGTGCTTCCTCCTCCCTATGACTTCCCCTCACATATTTATATATGGCCATCGTGTTTCCTCTATACATGGCTAGGAGAGCAACTAGTTTTAAAGCTGCTCTCCTAGTTTTCAGTCAGGATTCTTCCTTCATTCTAGCTAGATCATGATATCAATGTTTCAATTTAAAGATTAACAATAAATTGAATAAATGGTTCATACTGAGTTGAAACATCTACACTTTTGAAAAAACCCTTAACCGTATGATAGAGGACATGTTTGACATCTAGCAAGTCTGAGGTTCACTTCGAGCATCTCCAGCTAGAATGAGAAAAAGCCCTGCTCAATTCTTGGATTTATTTTTCAGCTGGAATAGTTTTCCATGTCCCTTTCCATTTGTAAATCAATAAATAAGGTTTTCTTTACAACCGACCAAATACACTTCTGGGATTACATCTGTAAAGATTCTCTCTTCACCTGTCTTTCTTTGTCCGCCTTCAAGGTCTCCATCATGCCCTGAAGCTCCTCCTTCTCTTTTAGGAGTTCCTCGCTTAAAGTCTCCAAGTCTTGGTTACTTTGTCTCTCTTTTTCAATCTGGTTCTGTAGTTTCTCAATCTGCATTGAAAAAATGATCACAGTGCATTGCATACAAATCTAAACAAATACTGATCACATATAAAAGAAATAGTAAAAAAAAAGAGATACTTTTAAAATTACACATTCACCAATATGTCTGCCAAAGCAATTGCACTTGCATGCTTTGAAGTAGACAATGTGTAGTGGCTGGAATCTCACCCAGTTATCAGCCCAGTGAGGGTGGAGACAAACCATCAACAATGAATCCTAATATTTTGTAAACTGATACTTTGCTGAGCCTGCATTTGACATCTTTGCAGCTAAAGAGACATGTGCTGCGGGCAACACACCAGGAACAATTCCCCTAATTGTACCATGACGCTGGCCAAAATGTTCGAGAGAACTCAAAAGCTCTTGCTTCACTAATCCCACAATATTTTAGTTTAGTTTCATGAAGGTAAGAGGAAACTGTTGTTTTCCATTCAGTAACAGGAATTCAGTATGATACTAGGTTTGAAGATAGATTTCAATTCATTGTGATTATAGATAACATTTATCACTAATGAAAGTGCATAATTCTTTTAGCCTAGCGTTTCTAAACCAGGGACTCGGGACTCCTGGGCGGGTTGTGAGGGGTGTCAGAAGAGTCACTAAAGATCATCAGAAAACACAGTATTTTCTGTTGGTCATGGGGGATTTGTGTGGGAAGTTTGGTCTAATTCTATTATTGGTGGGCTCAGTTCAGAATGCTCTTTGATTGTAGGTGAACTATAAATCCCAGCAACTATAACTCCAAATGCCAAGGTCTATTCCCCAAACTCCACCGGTGTTTACATTTGGGCTTATTGAGTATTCATGCCAAGTTTGGTCCAGATCCATCATTGTTTGAGTCCACAGTGCTCTCTGAATGTAGGTGAACTACAACTCCAAAACTCAAGGTCAATGCCCACCAAACTCTTCCAGTATTTTCTATTGGCCATGGGAGTTCTGTGTGCCAAGTTTGGTTCAATTCCATCATTGGTGGAATTCAAAATGCTCTTTGATTGCAGGTGAACTATAAATCCAAAAACTACAACTACAAAAAAACTACAACTCCCAAATGACAAAATCAATCCCCTCCCAACCCCACCACGGTATTAAAATTTGGGCATATTGTGTATTTGTGCCAAATTTGGCCCTGTGAATGAAAATACATCCTGCATATCAGATATTTACATTACAATTCAGAACAGTAGCAACATAACAGTAGTACAGTTATGAAATAGCAACAAAAATAATGTTATGGTTGGGAGTCACCACAACATGAGGAAGTATATTAAGGGGTCGCAGCACTAGGAAAGTTGAGAATCACTGTCTTAGCCCAACATAGAATCCAAATTAGATACCATTCATACAATTAGCAAATCCAAGAAACCTCATCTAAATAGGGACTGAAGTGCTAGAAAGCAGGGTAGCTTTAGTTCCTGCTGTGAATCTAGTCTTGATTGGAGCCTCTGTGATATTTTATTTGCATGAAATATCTTATCTTTACTTTAACAGTATTTTACCCTCCTTCCAAAAGCCTAGAACAGGACTGGAGTGGTTGTTGGGAACGGGCTGAGGCTAAAGTCCTTCATTTCAATGCTTACTTCCCAATACAAATTAGACCTTGTGTGCCTGAAAACTTCCTTTTAAAAAACTGCCCCGAGTTCCTAATTGCAGAACGGTCATTCATTCATGCATCTAGTTCAAGCCTAAGCAAAGTGATTCCACCAGATCTCATGGCAACACATTCAGTAAAATTAATTGTGCTGTTTTGGCCCTGAATCAAATTTCATGCAATGTTGTGATTTCCGGAATTAGTTTATTGGGAAATGTATTTTTTTTTTTTGCTGAACCTGATTTCATGATAATTTAGAAGAAACATTGCATACTTCAGTGAAGATTGTAAGTTATGTTTTCAGTCTATCCAAGATTACTATAATATACCATAAACTGTGAAAATGCATCATGAATAAGCTCTATGGTATATCTGATGGGTATATCAGAGTAATATTTAGCTGATACACTACCAGGTGGCCCAGAAATAACATGGAAAGAACAAAATTGGATACGATGGTGTATGTGTGTGTTGTGTCTAAAGAAGTGTGTGTGGCATTCAAAGTGTGACGCCTCACCTAAAAATGCACAAAAGAATATCCAAAGCAGTGCTTAGAGCCCAAGTGAGCTTACTTGAATTATTATGTACAAAACAATGTAACTGGAGAGTTTACAATACTTGTCCAATTTGGCTCTTATTTCTGAATGAACTGGCCACATATCCAAATGCTGCTACACTGCCAAGACTAACTGGGAAACATTTGCCTGTGTCTGGAAAACAAATGGCTGACTGCTAGCATACTGCAAGCACATAATAGCCCACAACAGACAAAGTGCTTCCATCCATCCAAGAGGGAGACAAAACCACTTAACATTTAGAAGTCTCACAGCAACACTCTTCATAGGTCCCCAAGGAGATGTTGGCTAGAAGCTAGAACATCAGTCCTTTGTGGCAATAACTGCTATTCCCAAGAGACCAAAAATGAAATGAGAATGTCTCTTTAATTTGCAAGTCTCCTTTTAATACATTTGGGAGGAAAAATGAATACAATTTAATTCTATACCAGAGCCGTACATAATAATATGATTAGGAATAAGGTAAATTAAAATAATCAGGAACTTTTAACAAAGACTATTTAGTGCACATTGTCTGCCCCAGGATTTTCCTAAGCTATAAATGTGTAAGCGTTAATCAAACCTAGAAATAAATCAAGATTTTTTGTTTTACTTGGATGAAAGTAAATAATGCTGACAAAAAGAGAGACACCACTGGTCTATTTTGTCCTGTACTATTTAGTGTGAGCATGAACACTACCATTTCTTGTAATATGGATCTTGTCTATTTCATTACTGGTTATTGGCTTTGCTGAGTTTTGTTTTGGGTTTCAATGCTGCTGTTTTATATTCATGTGTTTTAATTAATTGTGTTTTTATCTGGTTGTTGTTCTGCTTTTAAGTCTTGCGGTCATTTTGACCCATATGTAAACCACCCTGAGTCCCTTTGGGGAGATGGTGGACGGGTATAAGAATAAAGTAGTAGTAGTAGCAGTTTTTGTTGTTGTTATCTTACCCTGTTCACTCTGTACACAACAGCACAGAATTATTAGGTAAAATAAAACATTCTAGGACAGGCATGGGCAAACTTTGGCCCTCCAGCTGTTTTAGACTTCAACTCCTACAATTCCTAACAGCCGAATTGTTGACATCCAAAACCCCTGGAGGGTCAAAGTTTACCCACACCCAGCCCTGTTCTAGCATATATGCACATTGTATTGTGGAAGAAATATGTTCTAAACTTATTTGAACATATAACCTGCCTGATTAACATGTTATACAGTTAATGAAATAGACTCCTGTGCCAAATTGTATTTTCTAGTCTATGAGATACAGCAACAATCTGATGCTTTCATTTCTATATAAATTTAAGGCACAGGCTCATAAAAAGTCCATTCAGTCCAGAGGTAATGACTAGAATGTGTGAAAGTTTGCATAAGACTTGATGTTGGACACCTCCTCTTTCTTCTCTAACATTATAGTCACAAGGACAAAACAAGAAGTATCCGCTTTCAAAACACCCTTAGTTTATTATTTTTATGCATGTTCACTAACTCTAAAGTAACCCACAATTCTACCGAGTTGAATATAAGGGGCTACTATAGTTAGAACATGGTTTTATTTGGTTGTGCTATGACGACGTATCTGAACTCTCTTTTAAATCTGAAACACACTTTCTGGATGCATTTACTTCTGGATACCTTAAGCCCTGTAATTTTGTATGTATTGTCTGAAGGAACCATCCTCAAACACAAGTTTTCATTTTCTTTAGGAGCAAACAAGTGAGTAGGCAAAAAGACAAAACACTCCAAACAGACTGAATTGCATGAGCAGCCTGTTACATATATTTACTACATGACTATAATATAAAGGTAACCTAGCAACCAGCCAACTGGGCAGATGCAGTGACCATATTAAAGCATCCTCTGGTGTACTCTTAGTTAGCAGATACATATTGTCCCAAGATGCTTATTTGTAATTTTAATTTTACTAGTTGTAAACCACAAAGCCAGAAGCAATAAATTTTGCTCACCCTTCTGATGATTACACAGTGTTTTTCACCTTATCACAGGCACACCGAGCAACTTGGCTGTTCTGATGCATATTTTTTGCAGCCCATTTTCTTTAGGCTCTCGAAGTGAGGTGAAGTGGCACCTCACTGAGTAAAAAAGGAGTATTTTATTTCCTAATTATTTCAATAGTAGCAAATGGAAGTAAATGGAAATTCAAAGTGATGAATACTGCAGATATTAAGTATGATCTTGCCCAAATGTTGTTCTCCAAACTTGGTACATAACACAAAACTGGACAAGAGCAACTGGACTCTAGCAAGAGCTACAATGACTATCTTGTTTCATTTACAAGGAGACAGAAGGGAAAACACACAAAATCTATCACCAATGCAAATACGTAGCCTAACACCCAGTGAAGTAATGGACATGATGTAGTAGAATTAGGGTCAAAACCTCAGTGAGTCAATAAATTCACCAAGTGACCTCAATTTATTTGTTCGTCATCTGACATGCCTCATAGGGCTGTTGTGAGAATGCAGAGGGAAGGAGAGGACTATGTAGACCACAGGACTCTGGGACTCCATGTCTACAGAACAAAGGTCTACACCAACATCACAGTGGCTTGACAGACTTTTCTTTTCCTTCACTTTGCAGCCTTCAGACTCATTTTAAAGATTACCATCCATCCATACCAAAGGGTACATTGAGGAGCGCAGTGGGATTAATTCCCTACAAGTTACACATATGGAAGCTCTTCCATTGGTGAAGCTATTCCACTGTTATTCTAGCCATAGTCTGATATATGAGACATTTTATTAGTTGTAAACCACAAAGTCAGTAGCAAGAAATGTGTACATTACATGTACATTAAGGAAACGTGTACATTAGTCAGAAGCAAAATCTCAGATAAGGGTAAACTTCCAAGCAGGTCCTGAAGAACTCCACTCAAATTTTGTTACTCACCTTTTGTCCAAGCTGTTGATTCTCATTTTGCAGTTCCACAAATTTAATACTGTTCTCTTCAGTGGTTACAGATGCATCCCTGAGATCCTGGATGATATTCTGCAAGCTCTGGTTATCCTTCTCAAGCTTCAAAATGCGACTTGATGCACATTCGTTCAGTTCAAAGACAAAAGACTTCCTTGCTGTTTAAATACAACATTGAGAACATCAAGTTCGAGGATTTGTGTAAGTGGGACTCCACTTCCAGGATTATAAAGCAATTCCTTAACCAGTGTAAATCAAGGTATTTCTTTTGTACTTCAACAGATCTGCTGAACTAAGTACCATCCTCTTGAAAAAATAAGGAAACAAAAACAACTCGCCCAACTATCCTCAACTACAAGCTACACCACTTGTTTGAAGAATTGTATTTATTCTCATTTGCAAACTTCATTTTGACTCAAATATCTATGTTTGTATGTTGAAATTAAAATTAGTAGCTGGTCCTGGCTCCCGTAGCAAGTAGGATGATAAATCTGACCTAGATTTTAGTCCAGACTTCAGAGGAGCTATTCAAAATGTGAAGTATTGTTTGATGTGAGTTTCATGTTACTAAAGGGATACACTGACTTTCCTCAGTATTGGTGCTGATGACTTCCTCTGTTTCCTTACTGTGATTTTTAGAAGAGTCAGCATTATGTATACATCAGTTCACTAGGTCACCACCATATTAAAAAAGTGAAAAGCTCTGGAGATAAACAGAATATGCATTCTCTGCATTTAAGTCTGAATTCTTCACCTAAAACTATCTGCTTTATAAATCATGCACAAAAGGTTTGTGCCTGGCTACCTACAAAACTGCAAGCCCTTTTCCGAGGACATAATCCAAATGAGATTCATCATTGAGAAAAAGATTCCAATTAATAAATAATTACTGTAGTAGTTTCAGCATTGGACTACATCTCTGGAGACCAGGATTTGAATCCCTGTATGGAAACCCACTGGGTGACCTTGGGCAAGTCATATTCTCTCAACCTGAGGTATGTGCAAAATCGAACCTCCTCTGAGACCTAAAACAAATCTACGATAAGTTCACTTTACAGCAATCATATGTCTGAAACAACTTGAAGGTCCACAACAACAACATGCTTATTATAGAAACCTTTTTATATTGTTGTTGTGGGGGTTTTTTGTAAGTAAAAAAAATCAAACTGACCAGAGAAGTGGCATTATTCTAAGAATGACAAACCACTCTGTGTCACTTACTGTCTGAGAGATCGGTGCTCTTTGACAGCTGCTCCAGTTCTCTGCCCAAGTGAACTGACTCATTCATGCTTTGTTTCTGTGCAATCTCCAGCACCATATTCTCTTCCAGCAGCTCTTCAATTCTCTTTTTGTCTGTATCTCTGTCCTAAGGTGGTGACATGCAAAATGGGAAAGCTGGTTTATTATTCATTAAGGACCTAAATGTAGCTCACAAGATACCTCAGGGAAAGACAATGGTGTTTAAACTATCAAGGCTACCAACCCAAAACAACCCTAAATAATTAGAGTTTAAGCTTACATTTTTTTGTTGAAATAGAATTTTTAGAAAATTGTATTTAACTTCTGCATTTCAAACAAAAAGGTAATCCATCTAGAACAGTGTTTCTCGACCTTCCTAATGCTGCGACTCCTTAATACAGTTCCTCATGTTCTGGTGACCCCTAACCATAAAATTATTCTCATTGCTACTTCATAACTGTTATTTTGCTACTGTTATGAATTGTAATGTAAATATCCGATATGCAGGATGTATTTTCATTCGCTGGATGATATTTGGCACAAATACCCGATACATCCGAATCTGAATACTGGTGGGGTTGGGGAGGATTGATTTTGTCATTTGAGAGTCGTAGCTTCTGGGATTTATAGTTCAGCTATAATCAAAGAGCAACTCCACCAATGATGGAATTGAACCAAACTCCCACACAGAATTCCCATGACCAATAGAAAATACTGGAAGGGTTTGGTAAGCATTGACCTTGAGTTTTGGTGTTGTAGTTTACCTACCTCCAGAGAGCACTGTGGACTCAACAATGATGGATCTAAACCAAATTTGGTATGAATACTCATTATGGCCAAATGTGAACACTGGTGGAGTTTGGGGAAAATAGACCTTGACATTTGGGAATTGTAGTTTCTGGGATTTTTAGTTCACCTACAATCAAAGAGTATTCTGAACTCCACCAATGATAGAATTAGGCCAAACTTCCCACACAGAACCCCCATGACCAACAGAAAACATGTGTTTTCTGATGGTCTTTGGTGACCTCTCTGACACCCCCTCATGACCCCCCCCCAGGGGTCCCAACTCCCATGTTGAGAAACACTGATCTAGAAAGAACAAAACTTGATAGATGAGGAAAATCTCATAGGTGAAAGAAATCTTACCCTAGTATTATTACCCTAGATTATTAACAAATCTCATCCTTTGAATTTCTGTATAATATACAGGAATAAGATACACACAAATTAACTTGTCTGCTATCAGTACTCTAGATTTTTGGACTGAAGTTCCCATAAATTCTTGACCATACTAGTTGGGTTCCAAAGAGAGCTTATCTTCTGCTAAGGCATAACAGGAGTTATTCTGCCACCTTAATATATAATCAATCCCCATTGATTAAAGACACCAAACCATACCAGTTCTATGTCGTGAAGTTTTGATTTCAGCTGCAAGTTTTCTTTTTCAAGTTCATGTAACTTGTCACCACGGGCTCTTGAAATCATCAACTGTTCTTCTAGCATTGTCTTGGTTTCGATTAATATGATATTGTCTTCCCTAAGTTCCTTCAGATTTAAAAATGTATAAAAATCAAGGTGAGTACATTATAGTTTCAAATACCTTTTCAGTATCTAACAGTTTAATATTAGATTAATATAAACAGCACACTTAGTAGGTCACCAAAATATGGCATTTTTGAAGTGGAACTTGCATTAAGACAAATAACACACCTTGCGGGGCAGTGAGTTAGCAAAGTGATTGTTTTAAAGCTACAACTGGGCAGGAAACAGCATGCTAATGACAACTGGCAACCTTGATAAGAATGGAAGAATATCAACATCCCCTCCCTTTTTTCCTATGAGAAAAATTAAGACAATACAATGAGGAAGGGAAGGAATTTGCTGCTTGTTTTTCCTCTTGAAATTTAGATTCTCCACCCCACAGGCTTACAGTATATTTTCAAGGTCAGGTTGAGTTTAGAGCATCTCAACAGAACACTCTGACATGAAGAAATCGTTGTCCCACATAATGCCTGAAGGATATATTCATTTTATCTTCACAATACAGTTTTATATCAGTGTGTCTGGAAGCAAGCCCCAACTAGTCTAGTGGACCTTACTCAGGTCCTCACCAAGCCACAAAACTCAGTAGATAATGGGTTTCTTTAGCTATCTTACAGGGTGAGAGATGGAGAGCTAAAGATGGTGTCTTTAGTTCAGTGAACAAAAGACTGAGCATAAACATTATTGGGGATTGGACTAGACAATGACCTGTTAGGATCACATCCCATTGGGGTATGGATTATGACAGGTATGGGTAAACCCAGGCCCGGGGACCAGATACAAACCCTTCTCTCTCACCATCCTATCCTTCCTCATCTCTCTTACCATCCCATCCTTCCTTCCTTCCCTCCTTCTTTCTCCCTCCCTCCCTCCCTCCCTCCCTCCCTCCCTCCCTCCCTCCCTCCCTCCCTCCCGCCCGCCCTCATTTTCTTCCTGTCTCCCATGAAAAACACTAATGGCTCCCCAAAACAGCAGAGCAAAGGACCCAGTCCTTTGGATTCTGGCCATCAAGTATCCCAGGATTAGAGTTTTAGCATTGTTTCTTATAGCATTAAGGAGATGAAGTCTTAAATAGTACATATTAGTGGACCAGTAGGTTTTGCTGTGATGGGACAAACTTCGGAGAGCCTTCCAAGAGAATAGGGAATAAGGAGAACGGAAACCTAAGGTTCACTGAAAGCCCACTCACATCATGGAAAGTTATGGTTTATTGTGCTGTTCAAAACAGTCCAATGTACGCTTTTACTCTCAAGTGTTCTTTGTTTGCATAACTAATGTTGCATGGTTACAGAGGCATTAAGGTAGTACACACCATGCCTTTAAGTGTTTGACCAACCATTTCAAGCATTATCTCAACCACAGCGATCAAGCAAAAGGTTAAGCAGTGCCAAAATGGCAGCAAAAAAGATAAATAAATAAAAAATCACTACTTTTTTGAACAGCTAAACTTGCTGACCTCACTACCTCTGAGGATGCTTGCCATAGATGCAGGCAAAACGTCAGGAGAAATGCCTCTAGAACATGGCCCTATAGCCCGACAAAACCCACAAGAACCTACTTGCTGATCAAAGTTTAGCTGTTCAAATCACAATGCCTCAGAAAACTACACAACAGAAATAAGTGCAGCTGTTCCCATATTTTCTGTTTTGTGACAGGCAATGCTCTACTATTTATCTTTCTCTGTGTCATTTACTGCAGAGAACCTGGTAATCCCATTGCAAGTTTTCTTTCTTTGTGAACAAAACATATTGATAAAATCACTCAGTGAAATCTTTATGATCAAATGAAACTCTTACTGAAAATATTCCCTATGGCACTGACTCCATAAGAGGCTCAGATGAGAATCATATTGGTGTGAAATAAGTAGAAAGACAAACAATATAGGCATGAAGGTTTATTATCTTCTCCAATCAACAAAGAAAAACAATTAATTGCAATTGCTTATGCACATTAACTTTCTTTGCTTCTAGGTGGGAACTGTTTTGTTTTAGATCCCAGCAGGGGAGGGTTAAGGGGAATCAACGGGCATGATTTTGAACGCTGAATATCCCTGTTCACTTTTATTCCACTTCACTTTCCATGGTTTGCTTCCGGTGATTCTAGGACTGATATTTTGTGAAGGAGACTCCTCACTTCCTCAGTTTCTGCAAGAACCAAGTCTCCAGGAGCAGCAAATCACTCAAAGGAGAGGAATGTGGAGAAAGATTTATAACGGGCTGGAATACCCTCCTTGGAAGAAATATATTAATGCTGCTGTTTTCCGCATTGTTGGAGTAGCAAACTCAGTGGGATTCCACAGCAGGGCAAGCAAGAGACTGCATGCACCTTGCTGTTCTGTGCAAAGTTAATCTTATTAAAACAGTGCTCCATTTTCTCTTTGAAAGGAAGTAACTTTGAAAGGAAAGCAATGTTAATATATTGAAGCATAAATACTGTTTTCAGATAAACTAGCTCCTTTGGGATGTGAGCATCATATTCTCCCACAAGAAAAGTGGCCATATTGCTGCAGAAGAAGGTGAGTCAAGCAAACTCTCATCATGACTGCCTTCCATCTGGAAATATATGTCCTCACTGCGAAAGACCATGTGGATCCAGGATAGGTCTCTACAATTGTTTGCGGACCCATCACAAAGACTCTACTCTTGGAAGGCAATCATACTCAGCCACAAGATATCACCGATTATGATGTTTAGTGAAAGTCACCTATGGAGCCCTTGGGACCCTCCTTGATGCCAACCTCCAATCTTCGATGTACAAAATCAATAATCACACCTCCAGAGGCCAGCAGGGGGAGCATTTTTCTTTTCTAATTTTGTTGGAAAACTACACTTTTAGAAAACCACATGTGACCTTCCAGTTATTTCTTCTTTACTCTTCTGGAAGAGCCAGAAGTATGAAAAATGGGGTGCCTGCAATCCCCCAGGCCCTCTTCATTTGCTCAACCCCATTCTACAGGCAAGAAGGGTCCCTAGAAATTTTGCAGTATTTCAAAAACTAAGTTGGTACATTCACATTAAACAGACAATAAAATAGCTCTTTTACTACTAGGGATTTTGGGCTATAAGTAATAAACAGAATGGGTTGCTGTGAGTTTTCCGTGCTGTATGACCATGTTCCAGAAACATTATCTCCAGATGTTTCACCCATATCTATGGCAGGCAATCTCTGAGGATGCCTGCCACAGATGTGGGCGAAACTTCAGGAGAGAATGTTTCTGGAACATGGCCATCCAGCCCAGAAAACTCACAACAACCCAGTGATTCAGGCCATGAAAGCCTTCTATAACACATTAAACAGAATGTTAGTTTGTGTTTATCTGATCATTCATGCTGAGCTCCTGCAGCAAAAAGGAAGTGGTTCAAGTAACCAGAAATGTATCTGGCAGAAAAACTTAGTGCTACATCGGAATACAGATTCCTGATTTAACCTTTTTCTCAAAAGTCTGACATTGCAGCCATGCTGTGAAGCTGACAGACCCAGGGCAATCAGAGAAAAGGCAAGCAAGACATCTGTGTTTGGATATAAAAATATCCAAATAATAATATTATAATAATAAATCTGACTTTGGATATAATGCTTCTCCAATCTGATTCTGGCCAGTAAATATCAGATTTCAGATGTGGGGAATCAGAAATAATACTATAAATAACATTTTGGTTAACAAGGACACAAAAAAGTTAAATTCTCAAAATAGAAGAATGCGTAGGAAAGAAATTCACTGGTGAACCAAGTAATCATTTCCAGTTACTTTCAAAATTTATTTTTTAGGGCATTATTAGAATTTTGGCTCATTCTGTTCCAGTTTTGTGCCATTCTCTCTTTCTGTTTATTACTTAGGGCAGTGGTTCTCACCCTGTGGGTGCCCAGATGTTTTGGCCTTCAAATTCCAGAAATCCCAACAGCTAGTAAACTTGCTAGAATTTCTGGGAGTTGTAGGCCAAAACACCAGGGCATCAACAGGTTGAGAACCACTGCCTTAGGGTTTTCCCCCCTCAAGAAAATAACAGCGTGCAATGGAAAATAAATGAGCAGTGCAACAAATAATATAATGTGCTATCTTTCTAGCATTACATTCAGCAGTAAGAATGAGCTAATTTTCAAAACACTGTAACAGGAACAAACTCCTTTTAAAAAACAGTTCTCCAAGCTCTGCATCCCTTAGCTCCTCCTGCTTAAAGGATGAGCCAGGTAGAAGCAATAAAGCAGGATGATGTCATGGCCTATGGCTAGTACAATAAACAATTCATTCACATAAAGCAGGATGCCTTATTATTAATGTCAAAATAGCCAACCATTCTAGCTTAGTGTTTTGGATGGACATGTTTCTTGTCCATTACAGTGAATTTTTAAAAATGGAAAGTTATGGTTTTGGGTAATGCCAAAAAAGTGACACTTCCAAGCTCTGAAGGTAAACTTCTCCTCTTGTCTCCTTCATATATCTTCTGGATGCCATCAATTGGGGTTGTCTTTAGACCTACAGCTTATAGAGAAGACAAACCATCTCCTGAAATGGTATTTACTGGTAGACCTTCCTAACAGCTGTTTTTCAAGGAAAGGGCACAACTGACAGTAAGGAATCATTACAATTTCTGGTCTGGTATTCAGCTATGAGATCTCTGTCCAAACAAGGGTGGGCAATTACCCAAACAGATCCTATCTCTGCCAGAAGTGGTTTCCTATCTCATGCACTACTGCAGCTTCTCCACTTCAATTTTTTAAAATGTTATAATTTAAAAAGTCAACTTGCACCTCTAGGGAATTTAGGGGCAATTTCCTCATGGAAGTCCTGTTTTAGGCCCAGACAGTTCTCTTTTGAAGTAATTTCTAGTTTTGAAAAAGACCTCTCGATCACTAAGCAGTTCTGAAATGGACTTCAGAGATCACCTTTGGGGTTCCAGGACAAAAGTCAAAAATTCTGTTCGGTGTTTATACATTATACAATTGTAGTCATTGTATGAAATGAAACAAAATCACTAAGCAATTATGAAATAGCTTCTAAATTAAGTGAAGGCTGTGGTGCAATACAAACACTGCCTGCTGTTACAATGAGTACACCTGCACACCAATTTAATATCAATAAGACATTATGATGCCCTTTTGAAAAATCATTCTTCACTTATATAATGGAAATGTTGCTCTACTAAAGCAGGCATGGGCAAACCTTGGCCCTCCAGGTGTTTTGGACTTCAACTCTCACAATTCCTAACAGCCTCAGACCCTTTCCGTAAGGAAAGGGTCGAAGGCTGTTAGGAATTGTGGGAGTTGAAGTCCAAAATACCTGGAGGGCCAAAGTTTGCTTATGCCTGTACTACAGTGAAAATAGTGACAGCGTTACTGGAGTCCCAGCCCTTCCCTCGACTTGCCTCCATGCGTGCTTTGTAGAAATCCACGTCATGCAGCTTCTCCTTACACCGGACCAGCTCCATCTCTAGTCTCTCTACTCTGTTTGCTTTTTCTCTTAAGGAATCCAATTCGTCTCTGTAGGCTCGAGCAGAGCGAGCATCTGCCATGAGATTTATGTTCTGAGAAGAAATAAGAACAAACAGCAACTTATAAAAATAATTTACCGATGAATGATATGCATTGATAGCAAGAAATAACACAAACAAAAACAATACCTACGCCACTTTGTTGCATTTTAGTAAAAAGCTATCGTACAAAAGAGAAGAAGGAGTATGAACTCACAGTGATGTCAGTCTGAATAAGCATTCAATTTCATAATGGAAAGTTAAAATTCCCAACAAGCCTTGGCATGTCAGTGAGTTATTTATGCAGAGCAATAACTGTTTAGCAACCAGTGCAGGAGCAAATTCTAGAATCCTGACCTATTGAAATATTCTAGTACCAAGCTCAGTAATGATTTCATGGTTTCTATGAAACAAGAAAGTGCAGGTTTGCTAACTTGCTGAAATGGATGGGCAAAAGAGTTGGATCAAAGAGTTGCCAATATTCCATATTCTTTCTTTTTTTCCCTTTTAGTAACATAATTGTATCTTGGCTGAATCATACTAAAGTTTCACCCAGTCTTATACTTCACATATGGCTAAATAATAATAATAATAATAATAATAATAATAATAATAATAATACATTTTATTTATATTCCACTCTTATCTCCTTGAGGGGACTCAGAGTGGATTACAGAACACACATATGGCAAACATTCAATGCCATTATACAAATAACATCAAAGACATACAGTACATGGACATATTGTCCATACACAGAGGTAAAGGCTTCCCCCTTTTCATCTGTGGCATTTTGGAGGCTGTGCCCAACTCCGGCCATGGGGAGGTGCTCATGTTCCATTTTCCGTTGTCCGTGGACACCTACCTGATCGTTTTGCCAGCATGTCTGCATGGGCACCTTTTTCCTCCTCGCCAAAGTGGTACCTATTGATCTACTCCCATTTTGTTTTCAAACTGCTAGGTAGGCAAAAAGCTAGGGCTAACAGCAGGAGCTCACCCCGACCTGTGGCTTTGAACTACCCACCTTCTGTTCAGCAAGTCTTTTCTGCAGCTGGTGGTTTAACCCACTGTGCTACCGTGCCTCCCTTAGTTTCTAGTTACTTCTTAAGAAGCTGAATTTATATAAATAATACATACATACACTCATATAGGCACGCATGCATTCTAAGTAAAGTGTTCTAAAATGGTAAATTATACCTTCTTCTAATATAATGTAATAGCTCTCCATCATCATACTCTTACCTCTTGCTTTATCTTCTGCAATTCCAAGACTAACTGATCGACTTCATGTCTTGTATCAACAAGTTGCTCTGATTTTTCTTCCCTGCAAATTTCAAAGAAGTTGGATTAAAGTTATTAAGACAGTTTCTGAAGCCTTCAATCCTCTCTCTCTCACTCTCTCTCTGCTATCTATACCTTTATTTATTTATCCATCCATTCTACACTGATGGTTTCAGAAACTCTCTCACACACATACAGAGATATGTACATGCACACACTTACGTTGCATATTTACACATTTTCAAGTTATTAATTTAGCATAAATCAAAAACTATTACATGGCAAAAAGTTGCATTCCACGATTTTACAAGTTACTCCTTGATAACGCATAGGCATGATACTAGCTTAGTTAGCTACCCTCCACTGGCAAACAGGAACAACAGAAAGTATTCAAAACGGTCACACAATGAAGTATAAGTAAATGAAAACTGAACTGAAGCTGTAACTGAAAAATGAGAACAAATAAAAAAGATAAATTAAAATAGAAAAACAAGACAATATCAAAGAAAGTAGTGTGGCCAAATTTAGATCCCATCTTTCTTCCAAAAATGAGTCATAGCACCACAAAATTAAAAAATGAATAAAATGTAATTAAAACATAGAACGACTTTAAATATTAGGACAAGCTGAAAATGCCATTTACGATACATCAAGAAATAAATTAAAGGAAACACAGAAAATGTTTTCTTCAGTAATAACCCACTGTCACAGGCCAACATGAATAGAAACGCCTCTTCTTGCTAGTTGTACAACAGTAATGCGCCACAGAGCTCCAAACTCACAAATGGGGTGCCGATGCTACATTACTCCCTTGCTATGTCAGCTCCACTGGTTGCTAGTCTGCTACAGAGCACAATTTGAAGTGCTGGCTTTAGCCTATAAAGCCCTAAATGGTTCCAGCCCAGTATACCTATCCATACATATCTCCTTCTATGAGACAGCAAGGAGGTTAAGATCTTCTGGGGAGGCTCTGCTCTTGATCCCTCCTTATTTGCAGGTGTGGTTAGCGGTGACAAGAGACAGGGCCTTCTCAGTGGTGGCCCCTCGTCTATGGAACTCCCTCCCAGGTGAAATTAGATCAGCCCCCTCCCTCCTGACCTTTAGAAAAAGACTAAAGAAAGCCATGGATGTGTGACGAAGCATTCAGTGAGTAATTTATCAGAGCAAAAAGATGGAACAGTGCAATGACAAAAAGGGCCATGGACTACGATACTGGATTCCGTGATTTTAAATAAGTGGTTTTAAGGTTTTATAAGTTTTGATTATTGTTTTAATGTATATGTTTTTATTATGTGTGTTTTTGGCATCAAATTGTTGCCTATATATGTTAATTGCCTTTACTCGCCTACAGGGTTCAGAAGGGTGGGGTATAAATACAATAAAGGTTCCCTAAAACTGCATGTAGGAAAGCAACTGCACAATGAGTAAAGATATGCATCTCCCTAACATGGAAGCAGTCATGGAGTACTACTACAAGGAATGGGAAAGCACCTGATGACATCACAACACAGGTTGAACAACATACATATTATAGAGCAGGCATGGGCAAACTTCCAGCTGTTAGGAATTGTGGGAGTTGAAGTCCAAAACACCTGAAGGGCAAAGCTTGCCCATACTTGTTATAGAAGAAGAGAATGATGATTTTACACGGAGATGCTGCTTTTGGTAACAGCTCCATTGGTATGGTCTTATCCGCTGAGAGACATGGTTAAAAGAAACGTTTATCCACCACCCACCAATGTCTTGAGGACGTAAGAAGGAAGCACAATTATGTCCACTCCTTGTCTCCAATCCTCTCTGTGACTCAGTGCCTAACTTCCCCATATCAGGTGAGGAGTGGATGTTCAATTTGCAGTCTCCACATAAGCACAAACTCAGGGTCCAATCGTTCATATTAGATCTTTTTAATAATAATAATAATAATAATAATAATAATAATAATAATAATAATACGCTTTATTTATATTCTGCTCCTATTTCTCTGAGAGGACTCAAGAGTGGATTACAATATACACAGATAGGCAAACATTCAATGCTTTAATACAGTGGAATAACAATGATATACAAAGAACACAGGTAAAGGCTTTCCCCTTCATCTCCAGCTTTCTGACAGTGGTGCTCAACTCTGGCTATGGGGAGGTGCTCTTGTATTTCCAAGCCAAGGAGCCCGTTGTCCGTAGACACAATCCGGTTGTATTGCTGGCATGGCTGCATGGGTGCCTTTATTACCTTCTCACCAAAGTGGCACCTATTGATCTATTCACATTTGCAAACAGTTTAACCATTATGTTATGCTCATCATTACATTTTAATAATATACAGAGAGAAAAATGAAAGTAGAAGCCAGAAATGGAAGCGGGTGGGAGGGAGAGGAGAGATGGAAAGGGATATATATTCAAGCTCCATATTTTGTTTTTGTTTTTTTTAATTAGGGAAAAAGGCTTGAGAAATTAACTGTATTCTGGAACATGTCCAAATGTAGGGCTGCCAGTACAGATCAATGTATTGAAGCTAAAAGCAGTGCACTCTGAAAGCAGCTCTCTATTAGTGGAGGACACTAAGAGGCAACAGTTCTCTAGTGATGGCTTAGTGTCAGTACTTACAGCTCCTGCCTGATCCTTCTTAGTTTAGCCTTTGTGTCTGCAAGCTCCACAGACAGATGCTGTTTGTCCTCATTGGAGAGGCGGCTAGCTGGGTTTGGGGAAGAGGTTGGGCTTGATGTTTTCAGAGGGCTTGGAGGCTGTTGTGATTGGAGGTAATCTCTCTCCTGAGTGAGATCAACAACGAGCTAGAAACAAACAACAACAAATTCAAAAAGAAGTGTCATATATGAAGAATATATCCCATCCTCTATGACTAGTTATAAAAGGATCTCAGACTTGCAATCTTGCTATCTGGTAAGATCTAGGCATGGAAAATGTAATAATACAAGCACATAATTAAATTACATAACTTATAGTCACATAATATGGACCAAAAAAATCTAACACAGTAGGTTATTTAACATGCGTGTTTAGTAACACCAACATGCATAGGCAGGTTTCTGCCCTAAGGAGACAGATGTTTAAACCTCTGTCCCAGGACTAGAGGGCTGAAAAGCAAAACAAAGATAGCAAGAGCATAAGGAATAAGATTTTTTCATCACTATTACATGTACTCAGTCAATTTTGAACTGTTAATTTAAAATTTTAAATCTATTACTACTTTATTTCTATCTTTGTACTATGTGTTTTGCTATATTTGTTTATAATAATGTGTTTTAATATATGCATTTTATTATTTGTATTTTATGTTGATATGTTTTTGCCTGTGTTATGCCCCGCCTCAAACTGGAAGAGAGGTGGGCAACAAATAAATTATTATTATTATTATTATTATTATTATTATTATTATTATTATTATTTGAAACACAATAAGATGAGTCCATAGTAAAGATCACTTTGCTGGCTATTGTATTGAATCACACATCGGACACTTCCCAAGTGTCTAGGACTACTACTACTACTATTGTTGTTGTTGGGTTGTTATAGGTTTTTTGGGCTATATGGCCATGTTTTAGAAGCATTCTCTCCTGATGTTTTGCCTGCATCTATGGCAAGCATTGTCTTCACAACCTCACAACCTCTGAAAATGCTTGTCATAGATGTAGGTGAAACATCAGGAGATAATGCTTCTAAAACATGGCCATATAGTCCGAAAAACCTAGAACAACTGAGTGATTCCAGCCATGAAAGCCTTCAACAATACATTATTATTATTATTATTAATAATAATAATAAAGGATTATTATTTTCATTTGAAAAGAGCTCATAAATTGCAATACATACACTGTGACCAATATTTTGAAATCAATATTTATTTTCAAGAAAAAGAGGTGTGTGGACTCCAACCCAGCAGGAAAGTAACACTATCTTTCTCATATCCATAAAGAAAGGGGAAAGCACACATAAGCATAGGTCCTTATTGTTAACCCTTTTAGGAATAGTTCAAATAGAATAGAGTTCACATAAAGGCAGGATATCTGAACATCAAATTGAATAGAATCTGGGTGTAAATTGTCATGTCTAATGATCATTCATGTGTGTAATTATGTCAGCATGTGGTGCGTGCAGGCAATATGGGGGATGGTGATAATGTGCTATTATCAAAAATAATGGATCATTGAGTTGAGGGCCATCCCCTGACATCCAGGAAAGACTACACATTCCAATTCTAAAATTGTAACAATTTGCATGCATGCGTTTTGTAAAATCTTCAAATGCTTCTTGCAAAGACTTTCTAAAGAATTTGAGAGCTATGCTTGATTTTCTCCCAGGCTGGAGACTCTTATCTTAATCTGAAATCTTTGGAAATGAACGTGCATATTTTCTTTCCATAATTCTGGCTCAGTTACTAAAATATATGATGTTTCCTTCTAAGGTCATTTATAAAAACTACAGCTTTTAATGAAAACAGCATGAAAGATAATCTTGGAATAGACTTGTGTGGATATGCTCTTAAAAGGCCATTGCATATAGCAGTACTTTGCCAATGTACCTCAAGATTATTTTTCATGTTATTTTCATTAATGGCTTTACTCTGAACACACTTCCACTTTTATTAACATAAATATAATGACATAGCTGATGACTTTCTCGTAAACAGCCTACACTGTTGTCTCTCAGCATGGTCCACACACATGGAAGAGTACAGAAGCCAGATTGAATTCTCATTGTCTCTTTTCTGCTCTTTGCTCTTCCATACTTGACGGTATACGTGATGCTAGGAGTGCAAAGGATTCTCCTCACCCCGTTACAGCAGTAGTTCCCAACTTGTGGTCTGTGGACCACCAGTGCTCCGCAAGAACAAAAATATGGTTTGCGGCCTTCACCATTACTATACAGTTGCCTCAAAACCACACAGCAATGGGAGCAACTGGTCTCACAAAACCCTCTTATAGGATCGAGGCAATGGAGATGTTGGGAGTGAAGAGGCTAACTACCCATGAAAGATTACTACTATCAAATCAGCTCTAAATTATTAAATACGGTTTCTGTGGGCAAGGAGATGGTGACTAATGGATGGCATATGTTCTGTATCAGAAATTAGAGCTGATGTGGTCTATCGAATGCAATTGTCTGAATCAACACCCCAAATAACCAAATCAAATCTAAAGTTGACCAAAACCTGATTCATAACCCTTTTGGTACTAATGTTGGAGAGTGATCCCTGATCAAAGTGGTCTCTGGTCAAGTGGTCCCAAGTCAAAGTGGTCCCTGGTCAAAAAAAAAGGTTGGGAACCACTCCTTTACAATAAGGCTATGTAACTATATATGACTGCAACACAGACTGGCTTCCTCAAATGCAAATCCATTTCAAACATGGATTTAGTAGGTGGAGAAGAGTCTACTTCTGAAACCCAGTGTGGAATAGTGGTTTAAGGATTGGAAGAAGACTTTGTGAGAAGAGGGTTCAAGTCCCCATTCTGCCATGGAAACCCACTGGATGACCCTGAGTAAGTCCCACTCTCTGTCTTAGAGGAAGGCAACAGAAAATATCTTCTGAACAAATATTGCCAAGAAAACCCCACAACTGCTTCATCCTAGGGTCACCATAATTCAGAAATTACTTGATGGCACATAAGAACAACAAACTCTATGAGAGGCATGAGCAAACTTCGGCCCTCCCGGTGTTTTGGACTTCCGCTCTCACAATTCCTAACAGCCTTAGGCCCTTTCCTTTTTCCCTTGACCCACTTAAGCTTAAGCAACTGAGGGGGGAAAGGAAGGAGCCTGAGGCTGTTAGGAATTGTGGGAGTTGAAGTCCAAAACACCTGGAGAGCCAAAGTTTGCCCATGCCTGCTCTATAGTCGCCTTTCAGCACACATCTCCATAACCTTTTAAAAAAACCTGTTTTTCCTTCTGGTGAAATGCCATACCAGAAGTGAACCCAGGGAGGGAGAAAAGTGCTGGAACTGGGGAGAAGAACACTGTAGGGAAATGAGAAATTGTGAAAACCAGTGTTTAGCACATCTCATTCACATATCCCCTTGCTCTTAAAATCTTTAAAAAATGCTAGACACTACACTGAAATTATTTGGTAAGGAAAAAGAAAGAGTTTGAAAGGGTACTAATGTCTAAATAGAAAATGCTTCCATTCTGAGAGCACAGAAAGGGAATGGAGGCTGGGATGAGTTGAGTAGGTAAGTAATTTCAAGGGGACCTACAGATTACAAAGAAGAAGGTGATAGAATTGCAGGTGGCATCATTTTCAGCTCTTGTGTTGGTTGATGTCATATTTTAGTATACACCAACATGCAAAAACTTCCAGATAGATTGAAATCAGGCCTTTCCTCTCAGATATGCTCATTAATCCTAAATAACATTTTCCAAGGCACATTTTACCTGGGAAAGAACTAAAAAATATGGATTTCCACCTGCAATTCTCAAATAGCCCAAAACTCAGATGCAAGAGAGTGAGCCCTCTGAAACCAAGAAATGTGAAAATGTCATTATTTGGAAACAGATCTATCAAAGTTTCCCAGCCAGCCTGACTTCTTGGCTTAATACAAATGCAAAGACAGGTACTACTTCTTTTGTTGTTCATTTAGAACAGAGCAAATTCAAATTAAAGCTATATATCTATCCTTCCAACTGACACATAAAGGAAATCTATATGTGGTCAAAGGTCAGCAGACAATTGCAAGGTGATACATCGTATGAAGTAAATTATATTAAAGAGATGATAGAAATCACATTGACCGTACTTCTGTGCACTCATCTCTCTCGTCAATCAGCCTCTTTAGGTGGAAAACCATGCTTCTGGACAAGGAGTCCAGTTCTTCAGGGGCCACATCTGGCAGCTCCAGCCACTGCAGGTCAAATACATTCTCCTGGTTATGTGTTACCTAAAAGCAACAAGAAAAACACAAAAACTGGAAAGATTAGTTTGTTGACAGATTGAGATGCCACTTAATAATGACAAAATAAATGTTTCTTTTTTTTCAGGATTTGTCTGAAGAGTACATTTTTGGACTGATAGTGCTTTTAATTTATATATTTGATGACTTCATCCAAATGTTTTTAGTCCCATTGAACTTAAAAGGACTTTTTTCATTAAGTCTAAGGTTGCAGGCAAAGAAGATAAACACATTCCAAGAGCCTTCCATAGCAACCTTTGCATGGACTAAAGTACTATCTGCACCAAACAGTTAGACTACTTGGGCTTTCTTTATATTGCTTTGTCATTTTTTCTTCCTCAACCTGACATTGGTCTTCATATTGATTTCAGCCTTGATAGTTGAGAAAACATTTTAAATTGTCTAAAAGCACAATGGTAACTAACAGATTCAATTCCAACTTTTCACAACCAATAAATTGGAGGTGGAAAGTTCAGCTGTAATCAAGCATTTGACACTGTATCCTTGTTTTACTATCAACCACAAAGGAATACTTGTAACTTTTCTCATCCGTGAAGGATGTATCAACAAATCATGACATCTTGCCAAAAAATTAATCAATTGTCACAAGATTTTTCACATTGTGAAAATTTATCTCCCTTGGGGAGATAGAGCAGAATATAAATAAATAATTATTATTAGTAGTAGTATTACTCAGATTTGCATGTTTCGAACTGCTAGGTTAGCAAAAGCTGGGGCCAACAACAGGAGCTCACCCCATCCCGCAGATTCAAACTGCTGCCCTTCTGGTCAGCAAGTTCTGCAGCTTAGCAGTTTAACCTGCTGCGCCACCACAAAATACATTGACTTTGCACAAAGTTGTTCATTCTGTACAAAAACTATTTGTGTGCAAACTAAATTTTCATTAAACATTTCCAATTGTAAAAAAATGAAAAAAGCACATCATATTTTGTTCAACTATAAGAAGACTTGAGGGGAAACTCTTCATTCTTTCATGACAGAAATAATTAAGTAGATTTACATCTCTACTCAGCAAATGTACAGCTCTAATCTGAAACATAATAATTAGATATAACAGTGATAAAAAAAAGTTCAATTACAAGGTTTCAAAATGCTCAGAACTCTCTTAGAGATGGTTCAAGATATTCAGTTTTTAAAAGAAGATAAATAATAAAATAAATAAATACTTTATTTACATTCTCCTTGAGAGGACTCATGTTGGATTCTAGCAAACACAAGGCAAATATTCAATGCCTAGAAACAACACACACAGATAAAGGTAAAGGGTTTCCCTTCCGGTCCTGAGGAGTGGTGCTTATCTCTGGCTCTGGGAATGGTGCTCAGCTACATTTCTAAGCCAAAGAGCCTGTGCTGTCCATAGACAACTCCTAAGTCATGTGGTCAGCATGACTGTTTACCTTTCTGCCGAGGCAGTACCTATAATCTACTCACAGTTGCATGTTTTCAAACTGCTAGGTTGGCAGAAGCTGGGCTAATATGGGAGCTCATCCTGTCCTACATGATCTAGGAGGTGTCTACGGACAACGCAGGCTCTTCGGCTTAGAAATGGAGATGAGCACCACCCCCAAAGCCGGAGATGAAGGAGAAGTCTTTACCTTTATCTATGTATCTTTGTTTCATTGTTTTGAGGCATTGAATGCTTGCTTTGTGTCTATATGCCTGTATATGCTAGAATCTGCCTTGAGTCCCCTCAGAGATAGGGTGGAATACAAATAAAGTGTTATTGTTGTTATATATTTCTCAGGGACATTTTAATGACCCAAGAACATTCAGAACTTAGCACTACTTAATCACCAAAGTAGTGGTAGAAGTCTTCTCTAATAACAGTGAAATGCATATATTTTAATTACAATTCCAGAAACATTTCTTGAGATACCAGTAATCAAAACCCAGTGAGACCTTAGTATGTGAGAATAAGCTTAAGGACTAGATATTCTTACCTCTTGAATGTGTGAGACAATCGAAGCCTGAGTTTCAATATCAAGCTGTTTTATTCTTCCGATGTACTCTTCCTTCCTTTCACACTACAAAAAGGACAAAAGGACACACATCACTTGTTTAGTAGCCATCAACACTGCAATTATTTTAATGGTTTCCAAAGATCTCAAGTGCAACGACAATGAGGTTTACATCGAAAAGGGGAAAAGAGCAAGTAGGTAATTTAAGAACATTTTTATTTCAGTTTCCACTAAAATTCTGAAAGTAATTTATAATAACCCCAAAATGCCATTAAACCAATTAAGAACATTTTAACAATTGAAAATGATTGATTTAATTGAAGTTTTAAAAATAGTAAAAACTAGTGACAAGTCAACAACATAGAAAACAGTTGGCAAGTGGTAGGTCCAACAGGAGGTGGAAAACATCACATACTGAAAGGTCATCTGATCACAATGGGAAATTATTCCAGAATGAAATAGTCTCTGCCCTGCCCTACAACCACATAAATGTCACCAATTCATGGCATAGAGCACATAGCTGTGATCAGCTGTGCTGTGGAATTTGAAGAGGCACAAATGGAGGACAAAAGGAAGAAATGTGCCATGAGGAAGGCGTGACCGGGACCACCTTCCAACTGGAAACCGATGGAAGAACACAATAGGGTTCCACAGTCACCTATGTATCCACAACAGTATAATACGAACAGCTCTGTGTATTATCATGGATTGTTGGCTCTCTTTGGTGGGACACTTATACTAAAATAATTAGATTATTCTGCTAATAATACTATAAATGTAAGTCAAATAGTATTTAGGAGTAAACTTACCTGTACAGCACAACCCAAGACCAGCAACAGCAGTTTCTTAATTTCATCCATACTTTTACCTAAGAGGCAAAAATAAATTATCAGTAGAGAAATGATGAAGGTTTTGATGATTTAGAATGTTAACAGATTTCTAAATTAGGTAGAATTTGAACATGGTCGCATACTTTTGTTCTGGAGGTAGCATAGCTCCAGGTTTTGATTGCAATATAGAGTAGGATTTAGCTTCGCATTTCAGATTTTATGTTAGACAATTTAACAGAAACCCAAATATTGTGACTACTATTAAAGGCTCAGAAAGCTAATGGCAAACAATAGAAAAATAGTAAACAAACACTTAACTTTACAGATTTGGTGAATACATTTTAGTACATGTATTTATTTTTGGAGAAGTATGTAAAAGGCATTTCCTCAGGTCATGTTTGTTCACCTGCTTATTCCAAAAGTACATATGCCTTCCAGGTTGAGCTTCTGAATACAGGGCTTTGTTTCTTTGCAATTTACGTCAGGAGTAATTCAAATTATAGTCCACATTTGCTGAATTTAGGGATGCAGAACCATTGCAAAAGTCAGGACTATTTGAATTTAAAAAGCCCTTGTAGTTCCTTCTAAGTGTATGGTCAACTTCCAGCGCAATGCTGTGTTTCAGGATATAGAGAAGTGGTTCTCAACCTGTGGGTCCCCAGGTGTTTTGGCCTATAACTCCCAGAAATCCCAGCCAGTTTATCAGCTGTTAGGATTTCTGGGAGTTGAAGGCCAAAATATCTGGGGACCCACAGGTTGAGAACCACTGATATAGAGGAAAGCTTTCCAAACATTTTATGTTGGTGACATACTTTTTAGACATGCATCATTTTGCGACACAGTAAATCAGTTTTACGATCAAACGAGAGGTTAAAGCAACTTCCTTATAAGTGATACGGATATATATATATAAATAGTAATAATGAAATGTATGGGGACAAAACAAACCTGAAGGTACTCAAGTTAATCAAGGTAAATTGAATGAATTAATTTAACTAGCAAAGATTACAATAACTGGTTCCGAAACTTTGGTCATCCAGATGTTTTAGACTTCAGTTGACAGAAATCTGGCTTGAGATATGTATTTTGACAAGATATCAGCACTCTTTAGCAGAGAAGGCTAAATAATTTATAAAATTACAACTCCCACAATCGCATAGCATTGAGCTGTGACAGTTAAAGTGGTGATGAATTCTACACTGTACCCTTTGTTCGCCTCCAATGTGACTGTGCCCAAACTGAACAGCAGGTATCCCTTTCACTTACAGGTCCAAAACATCATGTCAATGCAGGTAGTATTTTTTACCCAAACTGCTATTATTGGTTAGATTGCTGTAAAACAGGAAATCTAAAGATACAGAAAGACTACTTCTGATCTTTGCATTTTACACTGTATTGTGGGAAATCCTCTTCCTGGGGACCCTCACTGGCACTTGGCTTCATTTGGTACCAAGCTGAAACCTGGCTGTTCACCAACGCTTTTGAACATGGCAAAGAAAGGTTTTATTTCTCTACTGATATCTTGGATTTTATTGTAAAACATTTCTAATATCCCTGTTTTGAGCAGGTTTTCTAAATCATGTTCCTTTAAAATAATTTTAAAATATTGCAGTATGTCAGTGGATCTTTCCATATTAAAATTATATGGCTTGCTGTAAGGCACTGCAGAATTATCTATACTCATGTTACTATAGTTCTCTCCTGCCTTTAGATATATATTAGATTGTTTTAAGCTGTTTACTGCCATGTTTATTTTTAAAGTAGAGTTAAAATACCTGTAATTATTTTAATCAGAGAAAGGGTAACCTATAGATAAAGGAAGGGGGAAAGCTACACATTAAGGAAATAAAAATCACTTTAAGTGTAATCTATATAAAGTGGATTTAATGTATACTAAGTGATTTCAAGCGTAGCACTTATAACCAAGAACCATGGCAAGCTCTTAATGATATAACATGATTATACCTCTAATTTGTGGGAAACTCTTTCAGTCTTTGTGGTTTTCATTGAATCGCTGATGTTCAAGTGACAGATCGCACAAAAGAATTTTTTGTTAGACATTATTGGGGATTATTAGAGGCACGTTTAGAAATGTAAGACATACAATGAAATGGGTGGCAGCTCTCTAAAGATAATGTCTGCTTCTGTTGAATCTTGATTGCCTATCAAATACTAATGCTTCCAAATAACATTGCATTTTAACAGTTATGTTGACTTCTTGCATTGTGTACCCTCTATCTATCAACTTTCTAGAACAGTGTTTCTCAACCTGGGGGTTGGGATCCTTGGAGGGGATCACAAGGGGGGGTCAGAGGGGTCCACAAAGACCATCAGAAAACACAGTATTTTCTGTTGGTCATGGGGGTTCAGTATGGGAAGTTTGCCCCATTTCTATTGTTGGTGGGGTTCAGAATGCTCTTTGATTGTAGGTGAACTATAAATCCCAGCAACTACAACTCCCAATGTTAATTTTCCCCAAACTCCACCACTGTTCATATCTGGCCACATTGAGTATTCGTGCCAAGTTTGGTCCAGATTCATCATTGTTTAAGTCCAATGTGCTCCCTGGATGTATGAACTACAGATCTCAAGCTCAAAGTCAATGCCCACCAAACCCTTCCAGTATTTTCTGTTGGTCATGGGGAAGTTCTGTGTACCAAGTTTGGTTCAATTCCATCATTGATGGAGTTCAGAATGCTCTTTGATTGTAAGTTAACTATAAATCCCAGCAACTGCAACTCCCAAATGACATAATCACACACACCCAACCCCACCAGTATTCAAATTTGGGCATATCGGGGATTTGTGCCAAATTTGGTCCAGTGAATGAATATACATCCTGCATATCAGATATTTACGTTACGATTCATAACAGTAGAAAAATTACAGTAGCAAAATGACAGCAAGAAAACATGTTATGGCTGGGGTCACCACAACACGAGGAACTGTATTAAGGGGTTGTGGCATTAGGAAGGTTGAGAACAACAGTGCTAGAAAATATTTATGATAATAGGGTATTTCAAAAAGTTAATGCTCATAGTTTAATTTCCTACTTAGCTTTCTGTCTGGTGTAATAGAAAGACTGCCCTTGAATCAATGCTCCCTGGATAAACTTAACAGGTTCGCCTCCTTTTGTTTACACAGAGACAAACAAGCAAACAGAAAATCTAATTAATAAGATTCAGTGACAGGAGCTAGCTTGAGTTAACACCTACCCAGACAGCACCATATGCCATCCATAACATCAAGAACAGCATTGCCGCAGCAGACATTTTGCACCGGGCTCTAATGTCTACATTTGCATTACTGAGATGCTTGCTCCGTAGTGCAGCTGAGACAGTGAAACCATACTGATAATTAAACGATGGTTGTGTCTTTTGTGCTGTTGAAAGATGTGAGGCGAAAGCCACAGGAGACCAAGTTCTCTGCTTCTGAGTCAAGCGGCAGAACAAGCAGGTGGCAGGCAGGCTTCCTAATGAGGCCACACCTTCGCCCTGAAAATCCTGCCAAATAGGGGGAATTAATCGTCTCCAGCACAACGTCACATGTACTACTCCATGCCAATATAATGTGATGTTCAATGATAAAGTGTTACATTTTACGGAAGAGGAGGAGACGACATCCTGTTAAATATCTTAACCAGAGGAAGGAAGGAAGTCACATTTGGGTTTTATTTTCTTGCACCACATTAAAAAAGAGAGTCCTGAAAAGAAAATTAAGCAGTTGATGTGTGCCAGGAAAAAGAGGTCCTGAGAATATTAAGCTTTCTCTTTTTCTGTGTGTGTATATTTCTATATTTGCTGGCTACTTTAGGATTAAAAATGGAAATCTGCAGCACAAGATAACATCTTCTTCAAATCTGTTTTTGGCCTCTGAGCTTAAAGGTAAAGGCTTCCCCTTGACATTAAGTCTAGACATATCCAATTCTGCGGGGTGGTGCTCATCTCTATTTCTAAGCCAAAGAGCCGGAGTTGCCCATAGATACCTCCAAGGTCATGTGGCCAGCATTACTGAATGAAGCACCATTACCTTCCCACAGAAGGGGAACCTATTGATCTACACACATTTGAATGTTTTCAAACTGCTAGGTTGGCAGAAGCTGGGGATGACAGCGGGAGCTCGCCCAGCTCCTTGGATTTGAACCACCAAACTTTCGGTCAGCAAGTTCAGCAGTTCAGCGGTTAAACCCGCTGCACCACCAGGGGTCCTCCTGAGCTTAAAACATCAGTTCAATACAATGTAAAAGAAACCATCAAAGTTAAATCGATCAGTAAACGTTTCACGGTGTCTCACAGATTAAATGAGGATTCATTTGGGTTGTTGTGAATTTTCTGGGTTGTATGGCCATGTTCCAAAAGCATTTTCTCCTGATGTTTCGCCTGCATCTCTGGCAGGCATCCTCACAGGTTGTGAGGTCTGTTGGAAACTAGGCAAGTGGGGTTTATAAATCTGTGGAATGCCCAAGGTGGGAGAAAAAAACTCTTGTCTGTTGAGGTAGGTGTGAATGTTTCAATTGCCCACCCTGATTAGCATTTAATGGCCTTCAAGAGTTCTTTCTCCAACCTTGGACATTGCACCACAGATATATAAACCCTACTTGCCTAGTTTCCAACAGACCTCACAACCTCTAAGGGTGCCTTCTATGGATGAAGGCAAAACATCAGAAGAGAATGCTTCTGGAACAAGGACATGCAACCTGGAAAATTCACATCAACCCAGTGATTCCAGCCATGAAAGCCTTCAACAGTACATTGTGGATTCATTTGCTCTAAAATGTCTTAATTAGATTTTAGAACAATTGCCCTGTATCCATGCTTTCCAGTAAAAGCCAATTATATGTAGATTTGGTTTGCCATGAATAATTTACACACCAGCATCATCTTCACAGTCTTCCTCAGTTAATTTGTTTGTTTGTTTCACAGAACTGTGAGCTTCACATGTCTGATGATGCAAGACCTTGTCTCGCCTTCTAAAACCATATGTTAGAATAAAACACCAGAGAGATCTTGGCCCTTCATTTAGGTTTGAATAAATAGCC